AGCGTTCGCTCCCCTTCGTCAAAGGGATCCACCGGCGTTTCGCTCGCAGGCTCGGCCTCGGCGCTCCGCCCTTGATTGCCATCAAGGTTTTTCTCGCTCCTTAGTCTCATTTCGATCACTGAAAGATCAGGTTGACCTTTAGTCGATTCGTCTTCAGCAAACGCGTCGGAAGCGCTGCTAAACGAGGTTTGGCTACGCCTAGTTCTAAATTTCCGCGTGCTTCCCTTGCTTAGCCTGGGAATTTTAGTAGTCGATCCTAACGAGTCCCTGCGCTGCATAGTTTTGTACGAAATGAAAGTATTCGTAATTTGATGGCAATGCAAACGTACCACAAACAAGATTTAGTTAAATCACTTAACGCTGCCTACTCGATTCCGTCAGTATCAAAAGGTCTCCTAGATCTCTCACGACTAAATTAGTGACTCAGCTAAAGTTACACACAGGGTCTACCCAGTATTGATATAGTGCTAACTCAACCCGGTTGTATAGTATAACAGTATCACAAAGTTTCCACAAGATATAATCGACACACAAAACACAATCGATAATCAGATAAGAATATCCTACAGGTGACAGCGACCTTTTGTCAGTATCAATTTATCGCCACACAATTTATCAAGTCACTGCTTTGTTAAAATTAAACAATCTTCGATAAAAAGCAGTGATGATTCAGAAATAGATAAATAAAACTTAGTCTTAAAGAAAAAGACTTCCCCCAATCGGAACGATCCGAAAGAACGAAGCCCAGGACACAGTCTTCTCAAGTGGGTGTGTATTTGCCTAATACACCCACCGAGGTCTTCTTTTGGGTGTCCTGCGATTGCCCGAGCTGTCCTACTAAGTAGCTCAAGGCAACCTCTTGGTCGAAAATTCGTCAAGTCTATGAAAAAGCTCTCCCACACTCGGACTGCTCCAAGTGCACGAGAGTAGGGAACAATTCTTCTTCTCAAGTGGGTGTGTATTTGCTTAATACACCCACCGAGGTCTTCCTTTATTTGTTCCCGGATTGCCCGAACTTTCCTATTAAGTAGCTCAAGGCAACCACTCAACCAAAATCACAATCAAAAAAAAAAATTTTGTTCGGGTACTTCTAATACACCCAATATAGAATCCAAAGTTGATCACGAATTTCCGGGTCAGAATGGGTTCTTATGATCCTGATAAGCACGCCTAATATCCTAATATGATCCTAATTAAATGGATATTTTCCGTTTCCCAAATTGCCACAGAAGGTTTACTCAAGTCTCTTACAAGGAGGGTCGCTAGAAGGCTTAAGACACTCCGGAGGGTTACCTCGGAGGGTACCTCAATCACTCAAGTTACTTAGGAGGGTATCTTAATCACCCAAGTTACTTCGGAGGGTCCCCCTAAATTTACTAAGGAGGGTCAATAAGATGCTTAATACGCTCCGGAGGGTCACTTCGGAGGGTACCTCCAAAATTTTCAAATTTTCTGATCTCACTTGGAAGGTTCTCCTACTAGCTTCAAAAAGCGTCAAAATAAGCTAAGGGTTCTAGGGGGAGCTGTTTCAACTTCTTAGGGTGATCTCGTGGAAATTTTCCACTAAGGAGGGTTGCTAAAGGGCTTAGCTGACTCCGGAGGGTCACTTCGGAGGGTTCCCCCAAAATCAAGAAAAAGGGTTAAATCACCGCAGTAAAGCCTCTGAAAGCGGTCTACCTGACTTACAACTAGGTTGGCTGACACGGTCAACCTTCCCAGTTGAATAAAAAGATGTTTTGATAAAATTTTCTGCCGCTCGGAGGGTTGCCCGTTACTTGGACCCTCCGAACCAACAAATTCTAAAAAATTTTTCTTTTCCGAAATAATCAACCCAAAAACGGTTGCGATTCGGAAAAGTGGTCAAAAACTTCGACTTATGGTACCAAAATTATCCCGATCGGATAACTAGTCTTTGAGAAATCGCCAAAAACGCGTTCGTCAAAATGGCCTTTTTCACCACCTGTATAGGTTCTGAAAGACTTTTTACGCAATTCCGGTCGAAAGTGCCTAAAAATACTTGAAATGGGCGTAGTAGCCCTGTACGGCACTGGAATAATGCAAAAAACCGGACCAAAATTGGTTTAGAAACAAAAATTTGGCCAAAAACTATCAAATTTGGACCCTCCGATTCCTTCCTTTTCCAAACCTTAAGTCGTTAGCTCTATCCACGGAGCTACTCGGAGGGTTACCCAAAAATTTCTCTAGTAACCGAGCACGTTATGCTAGCACGCTCCTAACGCAAAAAATTTTATTGCTCTAACTCTAAAAACTCAAAAACTCGATCCCCAAAACAGATTGACAAAATACAGAAAATTATCAAAATTTTGGTCGAAAAATTCTCGTTTTTCTAACTTCTACTGAATCTTTGCTCACGCGGTTTCTTTAATAAAGGGGATCGAACTACGTGGCTACTCTCTATATAAAAGCTTTTTGCCTATCGGAAAAGCTCGGATATCCGAAAATTTGGGGGTCTACAGTTTGGTCGAAAATTGGTAATTTCCGACAAAAAATGGGTGTTTCTTGGGTCTAAATAGGAGATAAGTAATATATAGTAAGGACAATAATCTATAAATAGTCGTTAATAAATAGTACTATACCCTCCTTTGCACCAAAATATTCGAATTAAGACCCTTAACTCGGAAATTTGTAATCGATGGAGGGTACAATCGGACCGCGCCAATCGTGCCCCCCACCACTTAAGTTTTAAGGAAATAGTACCCAAACGATACTAAAATTGCTTCAACGATACCCAACAGTCGTTGTGGATGTTGTCCTTGATGTCCCTGTTGAGTGTGGAACACGTTGATCAGCTTGCCACTCTACCCTCCGGTCACCGGCAAAATCACCATTAACGTGCTTAAACACTCAAATTACACTCGAGGGAGGGTACCCAACCCTTCACCAAAACACACAATCTTTCTATCAGAAACGATATAAATCAATCTGAAACAACAACAAATAGGAAGGTCAGATCACATCTCGTCCGGAAATAACATATAAACTGTCACTTTATGTTTTTTACTGTTTTTGGTCTTTTTTGGATTTTTTTTACTGTTTTTTGTACTTTTTGTTTTTAAATAAATTTATTTTTTTTGGCTTTTTCTTGGTTATACACTATTTTTGTTTGGTTTTACGCTTTCTCTTTAATTGTTTCTGGTCCTGGGACCTCAGGACAAGCGGGCTCTAGATTTCCCACCTAACCCTCCGGCCCCCGGAATTTTCGCTGTTAACTAAGTTAAAAAGCTAAATTGCACTAGACGGAGGGTACGCACCTTCCCCCTAGTACAACAACGGTCATTAAGGCCTCTAACTCGGGCTTACGCTTGCTGATCATGATAGTTTCATGCCTTTAACAGGCCCACCCAGGAGCGCCATAAAAACGTCTATGTAACATTCGCCCAAATATCACACAGCGACGGAGCGTAGAAAAAGTACCTATCAACGACTGGCAGGCGTCAGTTACCTTAATTCTACTCGTTTTTCACCGTCTCGACCTTGCCAGTTGATTTTCTGGTCTGTTTAGGGCAAAGTAAAAAGTTACCATTTTTAGGCCATCAGTCAAACGACTTTTGATCAGCTTTCGTTTGCATGCGAACACAACCACATAGCTGAGTCTCGGATCCTCAGACTACGTGATTGTCATTAAAAACACGGCTCGAACAACCTATTTTATTATATTTTTTGTGTGACAGTTTTATATTAAATCCATTGGAGATGGATTGACCCTTTCCTTTTTCTATCTACTCATGCTCTGAAATATTAAATAATAACGGTGTTAATTAAGATCTAGGACATTACAGCAGCTGTTATAGTCAGTTTTCACAGTCCCTTCACATATAACAGTCTCTGGGGGACCAAGCCTCCGCTCCCGTGATTTTCTTGAGATAACACTCTTATCTCCTATATTTCGTGTCCCGGGAGGGTTCCGTGGTATTTCTCTTCCCCCCACTGAAGCCTCCGTCTCCACAAATATCTGTCGCTAAGGTCCTTATCGTGTGTTCTTGCCACGATAAGAGGCTCCGTAATTTTTCTGTCTCTGATACAACTGTTCTTCACAATCTATATCGTGGTTCTGATTTTCGTCTTTTTTATTCAAAATGGCCGTCTTTTTTCTATTTCTCAGAAATGTTCTTCTTCCGATCGAAATTTTAAAAATAAAAATTCTAGAACATTCTGACCCTCCGTCGCAACACTTTTCTGTTCATAAGGCCTTTAGTCACTTTTATTTCTGTCGCGGGAAGGTTATGCTGTGTCATCTGGCAGAATGGCACATGGTAGAGACGGTGAAAAGCATATAAAGCTCTGTTTAGACGTTAGCCAGTCGTCTTAGGACTTAGTTTTATTTTCCGTCGATATGTATCTTCCGGGCGAATGTTACATTTTCTTTGCAATTTAAGCGTTCTTTTATTTATTTCTTAAATATGGTGATGATTTTCAACCAATCATTGCTTTTTCAGGGGCTTTATTTATGATAGATTTTTTAAAAGGGATTTTGGGTGCTAGGGATTTTTGCAGACCGGTTTTATAACAGTCAGGTTTTTTAGCAGACGCAGTACAATTATAAAGTGATAGCTAACTTCGAAGGTGGCATAGGCGATTAGCGACCGCTGGCTCCGCTGCGCTTCAATTCAACACGAGTGTTTTTGTGCGCGTAAATCTTAGTTTTGCCGCTAATTTAGACTATTTTGGTTCTTGAAGTTGATAGTTTTGTTGACAAATCATGAGATAATTGACTTAATTGGGAAGCATGGCCCCCGACTGAGCGTCTTTTTGAGCCTATCAATCAATCATCCATCATTTTATGAAGTTGGCCTGCCAAAAGACTCATTTTTTATGACAAAAGATTTGTCTGCTAAACGATTGGTCCCCGGGATTTTGACAAAAGGAACCCTAGGTTTTTGATACGTTCGTGCCTTGTTATACCGAGGTATATGAACAGTTTGAATATATGTTGTATAATGAATGTAAAGTTTTTTTAGTCCATATTTTGCTTTTTTTTCAGTTAGCTTAGTCTGATGCGTGCATTGAAAGATTACCAGCTGTTGGGCGTCAACTGGTTGTTGACTAAATTCAAACTCGGCAGTGGAGCAATTCTGGCAGATGAAATGGGACTGGGTAAGACATTTCAAGTAAGTTTAGGCAAGCTAATTCTTACTACTCCACTACTATACAACGAGTTGAAAGCTTGTATAATTTCACATGGATTCCTTTTTTACTATTTTCATTTTCAAGGTGATTTCGGTTGTCGACTCGATCATGAGATGCACAAAACGGAATCTCAAATGTCTCATTTTATGCCCACTGTCTGTGTTGGAAACGTGGAAAGAAGAAATTGATTATTCCGATGCCGTGAAAGGCAGTGCCGTTTTCGTGCATGGATCTAAAGAGGAAAGAGCTAACTGCTACAAAAGTAGTCTGCATAGCATCGGCCCCGTGACTATTGTAACGAATTACGAGACTCTAATTCATGATCGCGAAACGTTTTTTGGGAAAACTTTTGATCTTCTTGTGGTCGACGAGGCTCATCGTTTGAAAAACTCAGATGCAGTACTTTACAAGATTTTGTTTGATGAAGTTCAGTTTGAAGTGACTATATTATTAACTGGAACTCCAATTCAAAATAATCTAACGGAGCTCTACAGTTTGTTGTCCCTGATTGATGCGAAGCAGTTTCCGGCAAATAATGTTGACAGTTTTGTAAACGAACATGAGGTCAGAAATGGATGCTCAAACGAGAAGCTTCTTAGCGTATTAAAACAGTACGTTTTGCGAAGAACAAAAAGCGATGTTTTGTTGAAGCTTCCACCGAAAACCCAAGTTCTTATGTACCACGGCTTGACTTCCATACAAAAAAAGTTGTATAAATCTATACTTCTGAAAGACTCTGAAGCTCTTTTCTCTTTGTCAAATGAAAATGCAAACACTTCGAAGCGTTCCTTGACTAACATTCTAATGCAGTTAAGAAAGTGTTGCCTCCATCCTTATTTGTTCCATGGTGTTGAGCCAGAACCGTTTGTAATCGGTGATCATTTGATACTAGCTAGTCAAAAACTAGTTTTGCTGGACCTTCTATTGGGTTATCTACTGCCTTTGAAGCACAAGGTTTTGATTTTCTCTCAGTTTATTACGATGTTGGACATTTTACAAGACTATCTGGAATACAAGTGTCTGTTATATGAGCGCCTTGATGGATCATCACGAAGCGAGGAGAGGTTTTTGTCTATTAAAAATTTCAATAAAAACGAGACAACTTCAGTTTTCTTGATAAGCACGAAAGCCGGCGGACAAGGGATAACTTTGACCAGCGCCGATAAAGTTATATTTTACGACAATGATTTCAATCCCCAAAATGATATCCAGGCTGCAGCAAGAGCTCACAGAATAGGGCAGACGAAACCAGTCAAAATCATCAAACTTGTTTGCAAAAACTCGGTCGAAGAAATCATAATAGCCAGAGCTCAGAAAAAATTTCAGCTGTCATCAGAAGTGCTGAACACAGGAGATTTACAAGGCAGCGATTTGAATATTGAGAGCGCTCAAACTCCTTCTGAAATTTCAGAAGTGGTTAAATTTGGTCTTGATGTAATATTGAGTGATGTTGAATCAACAGATAATCTGAATGTCGACTTTGAGCAGATATTGGGCTCAACGGATTCGACAGGTTGTTGGAAGGAATTAGAAACAGCTGAGAATGAACTCAATACAGACGCAATAAAGGTATCGGAAGATACGGCGCCAGAAACAATGTACGATTTTGAAGGTGAAAACTTTAAAAGTAAAATGAAGCAATCGGATGATGTTTTGGGTAGTTTAATGGCTTCAGTAGTTGTCGAAGTTCCGAATTTAAATCTCAAAGCGATAGGAAGACCGAAAAGAACTTTGACCGCTGAAGAACGAAAAGAAAGAGAACTAGAAATGCGTCAAAACGAAGCCAAACGAGCTAGAATTTTAGAAGAGCAAAAGACTGAGAGGGCAGAAAAACGAAAGCAAAAGCTAGAGGCTCTTTGGATAGAATCCGGTTACAGTTCATTGAAACTAGATAACGAGGTTTTAAGTTCCGATGAAAGAGAACGTAGCTGGGAGGATGAAAATTCTGGGGCAATTCGTTTTGTTTCGGGAGATGTTACAAATCCTGATTTTGATCGCACCACAGGAGAGTTTGCTGTCATAATCCACTGTGTGGACAATTCCGGAGGCTGGGGCGAAGGCGGATTGTTCTCTGCTTTGAATAAACTTTCGCCCGAAATAGGGCAAAAATATGAAACTGCATATGAGATGAAAGATTTGACGTTTGGCGATACTCATTTGATTATGCTGAATGAGCTTTCGGTTTATATAGCTCTAATAGTAGCGCAGAAACGGAGCTCGAAAGGCATTCTTTCCGACATTGATAATTCAGTACTCGATAAGTCATTCTCTCAGATAGCGAGTTTCGCTAAAAACAAAGCTAAAAATGGTTCTAAACCAAGTATTCATTCACCCAGATTAGGTCATCTGATGAAAAATTTCAATTGGTATTGCGCTGAAAGACTGATGCGTAAACATTTCGCGGGAAATGGTCTGCAAATATACGTATACTACTTCTCGAAAAATCACCAATCAAACAAAAAGAAAAAAGAATCGACTTTGAATGGAAATAGTCGTGAATTAACGCAATTGTACGAGGAAATAAATTGCGAGACTACTGGTACTACTGAAAATTTGGATCTTGACGGTGGAAGTTTGCAAGTTGACCATATTTTTGATGTTAACAAAAAAGCCAGTGCCTTGCCAAATGTTTTTTCTGGTTTGACATTTGAACTGTCAAAGTTTCTAACCGAAGATCTCAAAAGAGAATTAACTCGATATATTATTGCTTACAACGGAGACATAGTTGATAGTGAATTGGCTCAAAATGGTGATATTTACGTGAGTGAGAAAAATGAAATGTTCGATTCAGATAGACCCAGTGTAATTTCATCCACTGATCTCGTTAAGTGCATAAAAACTAAATCAAAGCCTAAGTTTTAGAGTTGAAATGTCTATCGTATTTAATCGATTTTAGATAGCAAAGTGTATTTTCATACTATTGTTCTCTCAAACTAATGCCTTCATAATGTATATTTTTGGTCAATAATAGATTAACAAATGAATATTTTTATCTCACAAACACTTGTCCTGCTTAAACGCGGATTTTTTAAATTACGAGGCCATTTTTTTATCACAAGTTTCCCGTTTAATTGCTTAATTTCGTAGTGTAATGTGTAAAAATCACATTGTAGCAAAGCAGTTTTTTTCGACGTCATAATGTAGCTAAGCAACTCATATACACCAGCAACTTCTTGTATTATACTATGAGTTGATTATGTTTTGATATGAAAACCTCAAATTTTTGGGGTTAACGCCAAAAGCTCAGCTTAACAAGGCTTTTTGTTTTAAACTATTCAATAAGGATGGTTTATGGTTTTGATGGTTTATATATACATTTTTAACCGGTTTATATACATAAAAACATTTTTCGCTGTTTAATAATTTCCTACTTATGACGTGTTAAAATGCCCTCATATTTCAGCGTTTAAAATTTTCACAGAAAAGAACGTTTTAAAGTATTTTATACGAATGTTGAAGTACATTTTTTATGCATACGAGCAATTGAATGCAAGTTTTGCTTGTATTTTTGAGAAGTTTGAAATTAGCAATGCAATGGTGGGGTACCGCCAGGTTTCTAGGAATTACAAATCTGGCCCAAAAATGATTTAGAAAAAGTTTCTCTCAAATTTTGAATTGAGCAACCCAATGGTGGGTCAGTGTCAGGGTTCTTACAGGGGTTGTAAGCCTGAATGTTCAAATATTTTTTAGCTGATAATATATGACGATTTTGTGCTTTTCTAACATTTTCAAAATAAACAAGGTTAAAAGACATACTTCCGAAAGTTTGAAATTAGTAATTTTATTGGTGATTTCAGACTGCTCAAATCATTTTAGCTTACGAGATCCCGACATTTTTTGTGGTTTTCAAGAGGCAACGAACGTATTTCAGATTCTTATTAAAGTCGTGATGATTTTTTTGTTTGATTTTTCAGGAAAAGTCTAAAGTTTGTTCAGACTCAAATTTTTTTTTTTTTAAGTCAGACCATTTTTTTTGTTAAAAAGAAGGCGACTTCTAATTTCCAAATTGAACTTTTATGCGAAATACAAAGTTTACCAGTTGGCCCAGTTTTTTCTAAGTTATTTTTCTCAATTTATCAAAGGAGTGTCAATCATAAACTGTTTTGGAAATATAACCACCTCCAAGGCCATCTATATTTTTGAAATTCATAGTGAGAGTTTTTCAATAAATAAGCCAGTATTTTGTTCTCGTTAGTGGCTTCAATGATCATTTCCAACTGTCTGTTGCCTATGTTTTATTAAATATGTTAACTCTTGCGATAAGCAAGGGTGTTGTAATCGGGTATAGACTTTTCTTTTTTCCGTAAATAACTTTTTCACAGAATGGTTAATTTTGTCGGAGTGATAAATTCCAAGACATGCTCAATTTCTTGAAGATTCAAATAAAACTATTGTAATTTAGGTAGTAATTAGATAGTGGCTGTTTAGGGAAGTAATTGGTTTTCAAATAATTTTGAAAGAGTTTTTTTTTAGTCTTCGTGGTTTTCGCGGTCTAGTTTCCGTCTATTCATTTTCCGTTTTTTTAAAAATGACATTTATGTTATCTGGTATTAATTTTGTATCAGCTCTGCTCACTTTAAGTAGCATGGATTTTGTTTTAACTATAAAATATTTGACTATTGCTGAAAGTTCTGTAATTTGTAATTTTACGAAATCTGATTTTGAAAAGTTTTTTTTCGAGTAAACTGTTTCGGTTTATGTTTTGTTGGCTTAGTCTGGGTAGTCTACGTAGTTACATTCAATTGATTACTCAAGCAATGCTTGTGTTATAGTATGAACTATCTTTTTTTCCCACCTAAGGCGCAAATATTGTTGCGACGCAAATCTTGTTGCGATAAAATGTGTTCATTTTGAAAATGTTCATTTTGATCAATAACCAGCTATTAAGTACAGCCATTGTTAAGGATTTAAATACATACTAATATTGTTCCGACTTTCGTAACGAAAGTAAAGGAATATCTGTGCTCGGGGTGGTTTTTTTTCAGTCAAATTTCGACTTTTTAAGCAGCACTTTCTGACAGGATTTTTTTTTTCTGTCGAAAAGGGTTGCTGTGCTGAGCCTAAATTTGGAAAGATATTCCACCTGTGATCATTTTTCGTAAAGTTATGAGAGTTTAAAAACTGCCAATTTGAGACAATTAACGCGCGATAAATTTCGCGCTATTAACGAGTAATCTGAGATTAAACGTCATAGAAATCGTTCCAAATTGGTCGAAGGAAGCTTATTTGCCATAATTGATTTTTTACTTGGAGCGAAATGTATTTACTTAATATGGCGCGTGGGGGGATGATATTCACAAAAAATCTCAAATTAAAAAAAACAAGTCATTTTATTTTCATTACATTTAACTTTTTCATGTTATTACTGCTCTATAGACTGCTCTTTATTGTGAGGCATGTTTGTTGGTAATTTTTTTAAAATTGACTGGAACTGCTAATGCGTCATAATTGGCGTGCGTCACTTGGGAAATTTTGAAGACTCAAAGTTTTAATCATTCAGTTTTTCCCAGTTGCGTTATCGGTCATATTTTTGCTTTTGTATGCGAGGTGCAAGTTCGCCTCTGTGTAATTTTTAGCCGGTTTTTGCGAAAGAAAATCACAACACAATCAACATAAATTTAAGATTTTTTGATCTTTTAAAAAAATGATGCTTTTTTCTGCGGCTTTCATCTGTATTTCCTTCGATTTTTCATTCTATGTATGTGTTATATCGCAAGCTGTGCAATGTTTCGCTTCGCCTCTGAAAGGTGCTGGTTTTTCAGTTCAAAGATTTCGCAGATATTTCACTTCGCCTCTGTGTTCTAAATTGTTCAATTATGGTTGCATTAAAGTTTGGTTGCATTAATTTTCGTTGATTTATTTCATGTATTTTAGGAAACAAATCTCACGTTCAATGATAATATGTGAAATTCATGCGCCTCGAGTTTATGAATACTGAGTTCGAAATGGCTGACCTTATTTTAGCGCATTTGATTTTTCAAGCATAAGGGATCCTCGCACATTTTCGGTCTTCGCATAAGGGATCCTCGCACTAGTCTTCAGTTTTAGTATAGAGCAATGCTCCTCAAAATGTTATATGTGGGCCATTTAGTATCATGTGTTCATACGCCTTATGAAATAGTCATTTTATACTACCTGGTTTTTAGTATTAAGGATATTTATAAACTAATTAGGTTAACAAGGAAGATGTCAATGGAGAAAGCAAATAGCTAATAATATGGAGGTCCGGGGTTAGAATCCCGCAGTCAGTTAATTGTTTGTTTAATATTGATGAACGAGTGGAAAACACTTACCTTTATCGAAGACACTTACTTTTCAGTTTTTCCGTTTTTTAGGAAAGTTTCGGTTCACGATAAATTTTTTTGAGGTTTTGTTTTTGATTTTTTTAATTTCCCCTCAATTCCTTTGCTATATGCAAGGCAAAGTACGCTCGCCGTTAACAAAAGCATAATTAGCACAGAAAGAGGGACAGAATTTGGTTTAGGATTATGTTTTTCGGATTATTATGTCGGACTTTTTCTAAGTTTGCTTTCGGATTATTAAGCTTGCGGTTAACAAACGTTATCAAATCAGAATATAGACTTTTTCTCGCGTTAACAACTTGTTCAACAAAATCACTTGTAGTTTGGTTCATAATGAATAAAACTTTCATGCATGTTCGGCAATTAGCCGGGAGGTGAAGAATACGCCTGAGCCCGCAAAGGTCGTGGGTTCGAATCTGACCTGGAATTGTTTTTTTTCGAACTGGAAACATTCCTTTCCAAAAAATGTCTGCCTTTAATTTGCCTGCATATGTTTTGGCAGCTTAGTTGCCACATCGTAGAATTGTTTTTTTTTGCCTGCAATTTTCAATGTAACTGCTTTGTATGTTATGAGTTACTCTGGCAGTTTTTACTTTTACTAGCCTTGACTTCGTATATTTTGCTGTTTCTTTGCTTTGCTTAAACATTTTATTGGGCTTAAATGATTTAGGCTTGAATTTTATTGACTTAGTGACCTAATTTGATGTTTTTTGCTGCATTCCGGAACGCACAAAACGTTAAATTTCTTTTTGAAAAAAGAATTTATAATTCTAAGTTTTTCATGACAACAATTAAATTTTCGGTTCTACCGAAAATAATTCAAGTGTCGTCGGCTAAGTTGCCGCCTGTTAAGTATTTTTAATTTTTTTTTAATTGCCGTCGTTTGTGTTTCTGGATCTGTTTTCCGCAAAGATAATATGAATCCAGAAAACGTTTTGAATTTTTTTAAATTGTGAATTTTTGATTTTTTTAATCACTTAACGGCATTATTTTCCTATCTGCTAGCTTGCACTGCTGTTTTCGTGGACCACAAGTCGTGCGAAACTCTGCTTCGCCTCTGTTTTGAAATATCTTGCGATTTATTTTTTTTGTATCCAATTTTTATTTAAAAAAAAAAGAGTCCACTTAAAATTTTAAAGTTTTTTTAGAGCTGTGTTGTGACCTCGTATGCTCCCAATCGTGCAATTTTAAAAATTAATGTTGTATTGTTTCGACCAGTGAAATATACGAGCATTTCCATTGCGAAAACCAAATTAACGATGCTAATAAGCGCCGGTTAAAAAATTTCATTTTTATCCACATTTTCTATAGCAAATAAAGCAAGCGAGTAGATCGAATAGCTTTTTATTTAGTTATAAAACTAAAGTTTAAGCTTTGAAAAACAGTTAACTATTTTTTTTAGCTTTGAAAAGTAGTGTTTGAAGCATCAGGTAGCGCTGTCCGGGCACAAAAGTAAATCCAAAAAAGTAAGCTGTAAAAATTGAAGAAAAAAAAAACGTTTTTTTTTTGTTTAAAAACGGTTTTTGTTTTTAATTTTGCAAATATGAATATCGTCAACTGAAGCTATCATTTTTTCTTGTGCTGAGGTTTTCTCCCTTTCTGTTGTCTCTACACCTTCAGAAACCGAGACTAACTTGAAAACAATAATTAAACAGTCTTTAATGATTTTTTTTTTGAAATTCCTGTTGATGAAAAGAAGTATTCTGAAAATGTGTTTCGAAAAAGTCTATTTCCTTTTCTAAAAGAGAAGCAAAATTCACTATCGAACAGCAAAAGTGTAAAGATCACGAAAAACGTGATCGATATCTAGTTTCGTGGAAGTTACTTATCAGATTTCCCCGAAATAAAGATTTTACGTATTGCTCCAGTTTTCTCAAGTTGGGTTAATTTCATGAAAAAATTGTCATTTTAATTTGTTCTGGACATTCAAAGAGGTTTAAGGCCATTTGTTTTTTTCGAAATTCGAAGGCTGAGTTTTTTCAAAAAAAAAACATATGTTTCTTTGCGTTCATTACTCTTTTGCAACTGTCAGTTGGCTATATTGACTCATGCTTTATAAAAAGTATCATTCATGTCAGTTAAACAACTTGTCTAACACAATCAGTGAATCCCTTGATAAATTCGTTTCTAATCAGTACAAAGTCAATGATAATCAGTACAGTCGCAGAGCTAACGCCTGTAGTTCGAGCCTGGGTAATACCTGTACTTTTTGCAAAGTAGAAAATGTCAATCTGATTTTTATCGACATTTGTCTGCCTTGTCGGCATGAAAATTGTCTGTCTAGCTCTGCCATTTTCAAAGTTGCTAATTTGCAGGTATTTCAATTCCTAATTTATTGTAGATATCTGTTTAGTACTTTTGATTGTACTTTTTTTCTATTATAAAAATAAGAAATCACTGATCTGTAGGTGACAATCTATTATATATTCAAATGCAGGCTTCACTATCTTGCCATGTTTAAGCTTTTTCAACGTTTTATTTTTGCATGCTTAACAAAATAATTTTTTCACGTGAAGCTATATCGTATTTTGCATTAGTTAAGATTTTTTTTAGATTTTCCTATTTGAATTCTGTCTTAAGTTCACCAAGTTTGAAATTAGCAACCCAATAGTAGGATGATGTCAGGCTTTACCCGGGTGTTGCGATATTGGTCTCCCTATATGAATAACCAAATCCTTTTAGGTTACGAGATAATAATTTTTCGAGATTTTTCAAAAGTTTCTAGAAAAAAAATAATTTTTAAACTTTTCTGAAAGTTTTTAATTCTCAACCCTGTACTTGGAAGCTATACGGGTACTCGCAGGAGTTGCAACTCTTGAGTTTGAATATGACTGCTCAAATTCTTGTTGTTTTTGAGGTTTGAACGTTTTGTGATTTTTTCAAAGTTTCTTAGAAAACGTAAATTTATTTTTCAAATTTTGAAATTCTCAACCCTGTACTTGGGATCTGTGAGAAAACTCTCAGTGATTGCGAGACTTGTATCCGAATATGACAGTTTTCGAGATATGACGTTTTTTATGTCATTTTAAAAATTTTCAAACAACTTAGATATAAAAAAACTTCACAGAGTTTTATGGTTTTTCTAACTTAGAATTTAAAAAACTTGAATAAAATTTTTTTAACTAAATTTGAAATTATCATGTTACAACCCTGTATTTGGGTGCTGTCAGAGTAAACTCAAAGGATGCAGATCTTTTTTTTCAATATATGCGGTTTTTTATGAGTTGTTAACAATTAGAAGCACCGGAGATGCGTTACACGCTAGTTTGTTTTTTTATATGGTCTGAATATAAACTTTCCGTTTCTTTAGAAAGGACTTTCACTTTGTTTAATGCGGCTCTTTGCTTGATGTAGTTAGTTTGGCATTTGCTTGAATAGGTTGGCCTTTTTATATAGGTAGTTATATGTTGGTTGGTACCCGAAAATTTTCGTAGTTGCTGACCGAAGTTTTTCATAGTTGGTGCCCAAGATTTTCCATGCAACCTTATCTAGGGTTCGAGTCTCAAAAGGACTTCGTTTTTTTTTTCTACATTTGGGAAATTTTCATTTTTCGAGACTATTGTGAGTATAATTTTGTCTGCTTTTTTTCCACAGCCTGGAACTTCAAAAGCATCATGTTTCTTCTAATATAACAATTTCAATTAGAAATGAAAGTCGTTCTCCAATTGTAAGTTTACCATCCCTGATTTGATTCAATTGGCTTTTTATTTATTTTACGCGTAAATGGTTTTGGCTTATGCGTTATCGTCTCAGTTACCTCTCTTTCTGTCGTTTGAAAGGCAAAAAAGATGTTGATTTTGCTTGTCAGGAGGAATGACGCTCAAAAACTTCGAGTGTCAAAGTTTTTCTTTGACATCATTTTGTTTTCCGCTCCTTTCTTCGACGTAGTGGCTTTCGTTTCTGCTCTCTCGGCTAGCTTACAGTTCTGTTTTTATTTAATTACAAGTGTCAGGAACGACACGTTTCTTTAAGATAGAATTTGGTCTTCTTTCTGGTTATCTAAAAGAAACGTGTCGTCTATCTTCAATGAAAAATCAGTAAATGCATCAATAATTTTTGACTGAGATAAAATTCGCCAACTATATTCCATTTCTAGCTGTATGCACTATTTTTATACGCCAAGTTTTTCCTTTTAGCTGAAGAACACAATCCTCAATTCACTCTCTTAGGACCAGTAAGTTTTGAAATTTAGTAGAAAAGGAACGACGACTATGATCAAGAACGACCAGGAACCGAGCAAGTGGAATTATTGTACATTTTTTTCATCATAAGCCCTGCTTAGTATCTGTTTATAACGGCAATCTTTTTGATAAATTTTGTTCTCTTAACTTTGTATTTCAGATCCGAAAATGGGAAAGAAAGCAAAAAAATCAGATAAAAGTACACTGATGGTAACACAAGCCTTTGTACCTCGTGCTTTTCTGGCAATAACGCCCGAAATACCAGCTAGCCAGAGCAATTCGAATCCCGTCCACCTGGCTTTTATCAACGCTGGGAATATGGTGACGTCTCTTAATTTTCTCTCACCGAATGAAGATTTTTCAAAAGAAGTTTCACCAAAAACTTCAGAAGTGAAAGATCCGAAGCGAGTAAGTTCAGTGGATGCCGGTTACGATTTTCTGTCAGCTGGAGGGACTTTTGAGAGACCAAAGTCAGAAATTGCAGCAGACGATGAAGAGTTTTCAGAATCGAATCAAAGCGGGGCTGAAATATCCTTACGGAATAGCGATGCGTTTCGCAATGACGGGACGGTTAATAATAACGTGACTCAATCGAGAAATGAGACGAATAAATCAATTGGGATTTCTTCGTCGCCGCAGAAACATCAGTATGCAACCGTTGGAAAATCGAGTCAAAATCAGATCGAATTAGAAGAGAAACAGAGGTCTTCCAGTAATGCAGCGCTAAGTTTGAGTCAAATCGGCAGCCCAAGAGATGGATCGAGTTTACAAAACTCATCCTCAATGAGACAAGAAAACCAAAAACTTCAGGCTAAGCTAGGTGATGTCATTAAACAGATCAACGAACTGCAAAAGGAGAAGGAAAACTATGTCATTTCGCTGAACGAGCGTGAATATACCATCCGAACGTTGAACAAAACGGTTGAAAGCCTAACTCAAGAAAGCAACCAACTGCGCGAATCGCTTTCCGGGATGCGAAAAAAAACTTTATCCGAAAGTGAAATAAAAGATACAAAAACTCGCGAAGTTGCTCAACTGCAGGCCACGATTTTGAAGTTGAATGATCAACTTAAGATGTACCAAGAACAGCACGGAGTTTTGACGGATAAAGACCACAAAAATCTGGAGTCTTTTGTGGAAACTAAGCCTGAGTGGTTGACCAATACAGAGCTCTTATCGCCTCTCATGCAAGCGTATGAAGACGAAATTAGGCAGAAGGACGCAATTTTGAAGGAGAACGAGGAAAAGTTTCAAGAACTGCAGAAAATGGTCAATGAAATTGTCGCCGAGAATAGAGAGTTGCATTTATCTAGAGAGGGTGCAGCGCATGATAAAGAGTGGCAAAATGTTCAAGAACAAGCAAAGTTGGTTTTGGAGGAAAACCAAATTCTGATCGAACAACTAAATGTGCAAAGCAAAAGGTCAAGTGAGTTGAACCACGTCCATAAAGGGGAAATTAGTCGGCTTTCACGAAGTTTGGTCGCTGCTGAAGCTGACCGGAACTTTTACTCCTCCGAGCTGAAACAGGTTAACGAAAAGCATGAACAGTTTGTGAAAAGGTTCGAAGCTATGGGCGCCAATAAAATAGTCACATTGGAAGAGCATGGTAATATTGTGCGAGATTTGAACGCTAAAATAGCTAACCTAGAGCAAGTGCACGAAGAAGAAATTGAAAATTTATTAGATAAATTAGAAATTTCAGAACGGGAATTTGCTAACTTACTGAATGAAAAATCAGTAAGTAAAGCAGAAATTGAAAGTCTACAGCACAAAGTTGAATCCGTTCTTAAAGCTCAGACTAAATGGCAAAAGAAAGCGGCACTTCTGGAAAAGAAATTGAACCTTGCTCAGGAAAATGAAGAACTTTTGGGACAGAAGTTAGAACTAGCTTTGAGTGCAGCTGAAAAAGCGACAGAGGAACGAGACTTTTACGTTGAAGAGTTTCAAACTCACATCGATGAGAAAAACCAAACGATAAATGAGCTCAAAGATGAAAACATGACTCAAAAAGGTGTGGACGAAAATATGAAGGCGTATAAAATGGTGATGAAGGAAAAGTTGAAACGATTGGCTCAAGATCACTTGGCGACAAAAAAGGAGTTTGAACTAAAAGAGGAAAATTATCGAGTTGAAATTGAAAGTTTGAGGAAAAATTTGAATAAAGAGATTGCACGCAGCGATCATTTAATTAGCTCATCGAAGTTGTCGAAGAGTCCGTTTTGAGTTTGAAATCCAATACACTCTCAAATGACTCTTAAATGTACATATTCATCTTTCAAATTGTCATCTTTAGTTGTAAATAGTGTATTAAATACTTGGATAAGAATGTATTATATCGTACATAATAAAGATGTAATAAAAGGTGTCTTTCTTCAGAGGAGTTGTAATTTATGTAAACACTTCTTAACTGGCGTTTTACTTGACACAGTTTTCAGTAGTTCCTATGTTGGCATGTTGAAATGCCAATGCACCAATAGAAATTGTTACAGCTGCAAACGTTTTCTAAGATTTTATATGAATGTTGAAATACGTCTGTTTATCCATGAGCCCAATTAAATACATATTTACAATTTTATCTACGGGCTTTATCTTACATCTGTTACTGCGCGACAAGTTAAATCCTTCTAGTTTCTTTTTTCGCAATGTAATTTTTAAAAAATTTTTGTTCCGACTTTCGATACGGAAGTAGCGGAATATTTGTGCTCGGGGTGGTTTTTTTTCTTCAGACAATTTTTGACTTTTTAACTAGCCATTTTTGACGGAATTTTTTTATATCATTCGAAAGGTATTGTTGTCCTGAGCTCAAATTTGAAAAGATATTTCACCCTCATCATTTTTCATATCACGGGATTTCTTTTGTCATTCTAAAAGTATTGTTAAACTGAGTTTAAATCCGGAAAGATATTTCACCTGTGATCATTGTTTGTAAAGTTATGGGTGTAAACAAATTGACATTTTGGCCAATTTGGGACAATTAACGCGCGATATATTTCGCGCTATTAACGCGTAAGCGGAGATTTAATTCGTCTTTGAAATTGTTCCAAAATGGTTTAAAGAAGCGTATTTGCCATAATTGATATGTTACAATGAGCGAAATCTATTCTTTTGTACTTTATACGGCGTGTGGGGGGATGATTTCATAAAAAAAATCAAATTTTAGAATTTTTTTTTTTCATTTTTCATTGCATTTAATTTTTTGATGTTACTACTACTCTACAAACCTTAAAAGGCAGTGGGAACATTCAGGGCTTCGCCCTGATACGAGCAGTCTTTTTTTTTCAATAAGTTTGAAATTGACAAGATAATGGTGGGGTGCAAATTCAAATCTGGGCTCAAAATTAAACTGCTCAAATTCTTTTCAGGCTCCATGATTTTTCTGATTTAGTTTCCAATATTGTCATGATTTCTCCTAAAGTTTCATAAAAAAACAGTCATTTATGTTAATTATTAGAGTAGTCTGATCAAATAATTGGTGGGAGCGAAGAAAAATTGCCCGGTTTGATGAAATGAATCAAGTTTAACAAGAATCTAAATCAATAAAAATAATTGTTATACACACCAACTGGTCATATGAGAGCTTCTGATTTATTGTGTGTAATGTGCAGTTGTATGCTGTCGGTCATCATCGTCATCATCATTTGGTTGTTTATACAGCAATTCTTTGGTGTTGGGCAACTGCTTTCGTTCGTGGCATTGATTATTCTGTATATACAAATTAAATAGAGGCCTAAATCTGTTTTCGTTTTTGGCTATGAATGCCCGTCGGTTTGTCAAAATTGTAATTTAAGCTATCAAACAGCGTAAAATACATTCTAAAAAGCTGCATTTAGAGACCAGCTTTGAAGTTTTTCTAAGATTTTTCTTTTCTAATTTTCCTCAGCAGTTTTTTTTTACTAAGATAACGGCACTCAAAAAAGAATTCCGTATGCTGTTTTTACTTTTGATAGAACGCGTCGATTTACCATCATATCAGAAAAAATTTTAATAAGGCGGTCTCAGTCGAATAAGTCTTTTTGTGAGCTCATTGGCGAGTATCTAGCAAAATGTTTGTTGCATGCTATTCCTTGATTTGATCACAAAGAATTTTCTCGAAAATTTTGGTGAAAAACAGAGATTAGAAAACGGTCGATATGACGACAATTGTTCAGAGTCTAGATTTGGTTTCTCGAGGTGAGGCTATACAAACACTTTTTTGAAACAGGGCGGTAAAATAGAAGAATTAATCGATTCGTTGATAAGATGAACGAAAGGGCTCCATGCCGGTTTAAGCTGTTCAAGTTGAAGTACTGGTAACGGACCTCCAGGTGAAGTTACGTTTGAGATGTAGACAGTTACCATTATTAGTGTTCACTCTGGCGATTAGCAAGCGTTATCAAACTGGAATATAGACTTTTTTTCTAGTTAACAACTAGTTTAACAAAATCAGCTAAATCACCCGCGGACTGTGCAGCTGGCTTCTTTTCACACTTCTTTCTTCTTTAAACATCTTCCAGGTTGCTTCGTACTTGGCCTAGAGGTAAAGCAGTTGCCTTTATACCCTAAGGATTGGAGTTCGAGTCGTTGCCGGACCTTGATTTTTTTTGAGGAAATTGAAAAAAAAACATTTCGAGAAAATTGAATTGTTGATGTTGTGCATTCTGGTTTCCGGAAAAATATGTGTATAGATGTGGTCAAAGATGTGTATAGATGTGGTTCAAGTGGTCAAAGATTGTTGCTGCATCACTGATTTTTCTTGTGCTGTAAACAACTTCATTATAGTTACAAGTTCAATTGTTGTCCATTGTTTTTTAAGATAGGACTTTAAACTTCGTTTAAAAAAAACATTTTTTTCGGCTCAACATGTGTCTGCTCAAAGATTGTCACCTTTGTTTTTTTTCGTAATTTTTGTTGAGTATTTCAAGTGTCTGGCATGCTTTCCTAGAATGAATTTATATCAAGACATATGTTTTCGTTTTTCTTGTCAGTTTTGTGCGAAAGTTGTTTTTCAATTTGCTTATTTTACTATGACTGTCGAATGTGCCTAATCGCTAGTTTTTCGTTTAGCTCTTTTCATCACACCACGCCGAAAATAATGAGACTAAGTCTATTTTAAGACTATGGTCTGAGCATTCTGTGCTACTTGCACAATAACCGGCTATCCTTGTTTAGATTTTGGTGTTTAATTATCAGCTATTTTCTAGGGACATAAGCGGTTTTAGCTGATTATTATCTAACCGCGTAACAAAGAAAGTTTTTTTTGTAGTGAAAAAAATTCGGGACCCTTAATTTTGATTTTCTCTAAAAAATTCCATTTATAAAACTCGGTTGGATGCATCGAGCTTATTTTTTATCCTTGCATTCAGTTCCATTCTATTTTTTCTTATAATTTAAGAAATATTGCTAAGTTGAACAGGCTGTTTTGATATGTCGAACTTTACGTGTAGCTACCTACAGTTTTAGTTTGTTTTTATCTTTAGTTATTGCAATTTTTAGATGCTACCAGCCTTCAATTTGCTTTTTGAGGAGAATCAGTAGAAGCTGCATAAGTTAATAGTTAATGTGGAACTATTTTTCCGAGTAATTTTGTCGAGTTTCCTAGAAAACTTCGAAGATCTTTTTTACGAGTAATGAGCGTTGTGAGTACTCTTATGTAAAGATAGGTCTTGGTGATTTTTTTTTCGGGAAAAAGTCTGAAAATTTGTTCGCTTTGTTTCTTTTGTGTAAAGGAAGGCAAAATCGACTATCGAACAGCAAAATTGTTAAGGTCACGAAATTTTGATCCACTTCTAATTTGGAAAATGGAAATTAATTACAGTAGTGGACAAAAAGAAGCCCAAATCTAGGTTTTTACTCTCTAACATGCCTTTTTTAATGCCCATTTTGGACAAAATTTATTTCGATTGTCAGCAAAGCTTCTATGTAGACCAAAAGCGAATCATCAGAGCTAGCATCCATGAAACTATCAATGTTTGGTTTCAAAGACTTACCAATATAATTAGGGTCTGAAAATGCCAATTTTCCTCATCAGCACTAAGTTTTGCGTCGTAGTGAACTCTTTCTCGAATAAGCGGAGTAAAAAATTTGTTCAGGCGACGTGAAAAATTCTGTGCGAGAAAATTGAAATAACCAGTGTGAGAATTTTTTTAAGCTCGGCTGTAACATAATTTTTCACTCTGATCGAAAATTTAAGTGCAGATGAAAAACTCTGGCATTTTCAGACCAGGATTACATTGGTAAGTCATTGAAATCAAATGCCGATAGTTTCATAGAAAGTAGCTTAGATCATTTGCTCTTGGTGTATGTAAAACTTTTGCAGAAAATCGAAGTAAATGTTGTCCAGTATGGACACAAAATGTGTTTAAGAAAGTAAAAACTTGAATTTGCGCTTAATTTTGCGCACTAGTGTATCAGATTTCGCAGCGAAATAAAATTTTACCTATTGATTCATTTTCCTCAAATTGGGTTATTTTTAATCAAAAAAAGTGTCAATCATAAATTGTTATACAAAATCAAACAGCTTTAAATCCATTTGTTTTTTTTCCGAAAAGTTGAAGGTTTTTCAAAAAACAAGTCTTTTTTGAGTTTCCTTGTGTTCATTACTCTTTTCTTTTTTGCCGATTTGGTTGTTTTGCTGCCAGATTTTTTCCACGCACATCAGTGAAACTTATTCCTAAATGAAATATAATAATGAGGGTGCTTGTGAAGGATTTTACAATAATTCTCGATTGGATTTTTTTTCCCCGAGTGATTTTGAATAAAGCAGTCAAAATTATGATCAGATATCTGTTATGATTTACAGTGAACGTTGTAACATTTGAATGTTTTTAGTTTGCTATGGACCCGTTAACTTCTTTACAATGTTTTAAGTTACTACTGGTCTTGCTATTGGTAGTGTTAACAGCAGGATACAATCCATACGAAGTACTTGGCGTTAGTCGTCAAGCAACTGGCCAGGAAATCAAAAAAGCGTACAAGAAACTGGCTCGTGAATGGCATCCAGATAAAAACAAAAGTCCAGAAGCCGAAGCTAAGTTTGTTGAAATTGGTAAGGCGTACGAACTTCTGACAGATGAAGAAAAACGAAGAAACTACGATCAGTTTGGAACCACAGACGATAACCCACAGGGGCATAGTAGACAAGGCGGCTACGGGGGGTTCCCGTTCTCGGATTTTTTCGGCGGGGGAGGGGGTCGCGGAGGTCCTGGTCGGGGATTCAGAGGGGGTCCTTTCTCCTCATTTTTCGACTCAGAACCAGATGAATTATTAATAAATCGTCATGTATATGAACGTGATGTCCTTCCTGGAAGTTACAGTCACGTGTACCTATTGTACGCATACTCAGACTGGTGTGGAAATTGTAAAATAGTGAGAAAAATGTTTGACCAACTTCACAATTCGTACAAAGACAAAGGGATCCGATTTGTGACTGCAGATGCAGATGTTGATAGATCTTTAGTGTACAAACTTGGACTCTCAAGAGTGCCTTCAGTTCTTGCAGTTGTAAATGGAAGGGTTAGATTGTATCAAAGACGCGAATGGGCCAGCGCAAGCATAGAACAGTTCTTGTTCGAGCAAATTCCAAGCGTTCCAATTCAGAATTTGAACTCAAAAGCTGACATCAAGACTTTTCTGGATAGTTTAGTTAGTGATAATAAACCGAGAGTTATAATATACGGAGACTTGAAGGTACCTCCAAACTGGCTTAAAATTTTGGCTTTTTCGAAGCAGAAGAGTCACGCGTTTGGGTTTGTAAGCGCCAAGGATTATCGAGATAATGAAAACGAGTTTCTTGGGCGAAATGGAATGGTATCCATTTATATTTCAAATGATAGACCAGTAGAAATTGTGAACAGAGCTGCTACTTATTCAGCCACTTTTGCTCTGGTTGAAAACCACAAACTAGTCAAGTTCCCAAGGCTATCAAATCAAGTTATTTTTGACAATATTTGTCCAACAGTAACTTCAATTAGTAACAGAAAATACTGTGTTGTTTTTGTTCACCCATACTTCACTGAAATTAGCCCATATGTTTCTCAAATTGAAAAAATGAAGAAATCTGGTTTGCCTTACATTCAAAAAACAACCTTTTCTTATATAGCTCCTGAAAATACTCAAAGCGAGTTTCTTGCAGCTCTGAACTATTCGTACAGTGGGAAACCGCAAATTGTGACTTTGCTTAGAATATCAGATCACGAAGCGTACTTCAAATGGCAGAATTGGAACTCGCCTCATGCATATGAAAATATTGAGGGATTCCTGATAAATGTCGCTTCTGGTCGAACCAAGTTGTCTACGAGCGCGAAGTTTGGTACCATAAATGACGAGGAAGCTCCAGGATTTTTGATGAGAGCCATTCGTAAATTAGCAGATACAATTCTTGATTCAGTGGGTGTTGTGTGGGAATGGCTTAATTGGATGATTAATTCTGAAGATGGATTTATAGTGATGTCAGTTCTGGTAATGATGCTTTTCATTTTCGGAGGAAGCTTAGTTAGTGCGTTTTCTTCGGTTACGTCCTTGCCAAACGGGAACTCAAACTATCAAAGAAGAACTTTAAATGATAAATATTCGGCTGCTATTCGTAGAGGAGACTCGGATTCAAGTTACAGACTCTCAGGAACCGGAGAAAAGTTTTCAAGTGGAAGAAATGATGTAAGACAAAGAAAAGCGAATGAAGTTGAAGAAAGTCAGGAAGATTTAAACGAGCCTTCAAATTCCAGCCATGCTTCAAGCAGTGCTACAAATGAATCGCCAGAATCCACTTGCTCCAATCAGTGAACTTTTTCCAAATCCCAAAAGCTAAAAGAAATTCCAAAGGACCTTCCCTTCCGCTACATATAAAGCTGCGCACGAGTTTTTGATCCCATGTTTAAAATAGTTTCATGAATATTATAGATTTGCAATTGGTATAAATTATTTGCATTCTTTTATTGTCTTACTTATCCGTCAGTTTAAAATTTACACTAGATTATATCTGGTTTCAAGGAGTAGAGAAGTAGCCCAGTAAATATTCATTCTGAGAAGATCCTAAAAGTTCAACCAATTAAAAAGCAGTCATTGTTGCGACTTTTATTGATTGAAGCGATTGAAGCATTTTTTGATGAATCGTTTTGAAGTGTTTTATACCTGTCAGATATCGTTGCCCTAAGATCAGATTTTTGTTCTGACCATTTGAAACATTGCGAGGAACTTTGTTTTCGGGTATGTTTTTTGTTTTCCCCGCATAATCAAATCCCACAAATAATCATCGGACAGGTTTGAGTAATATATCATAATAAAGCACTTTTAGTCATGGTTCTAACGAATTAGAAAAATTCCAGTGTCAACAAAAACCGGTCTAATTTTTGTCTAATTTCGAGCGCGAAAAGTGAGCGAGCAGGCTTGTTTATGCAGTGAAAAATTACATAGCTTATTAATCTTGCGATAGCAAGGGTATTGCAATTGCTTCTATACTTTTTTCCTGTAAAGACCTCATTGAACTGCTGGTACCTTGGTTCATAATCAATTCAAAGTTTTTAGTGTCTATTGTACGCTTAGCCTGGTGGTAACAAATACGCCTGGGACGGAAAAGGTCCTGGGTTCGAATCTGCCCAGTACCAATTGTTGTTCAAATGGTTAATGTTCCGGTTCAAGAAAATTTCGGCCTAATTTTGTCTGCTTATGTTTTATCGTCTTAGTTGTCACATCTAAGAATTGGTTTTTTAGCTGTTAACAATTTAAACTGCAGTTTTTATAGCATTTTAAAAATCCAGCGGAATCGAATTTTGTTTTTCGCATTGCATGTAATTTAACCAACTCGATATGTTAAAATTTCCTTTTTTTTCGTCTTATCGGCTCAATAAATTTGGGCCTAATTAATATCGACTTAGCGGTCTCTTATTGCGTCTTTAATTCTGAAACAAGTTTTTGTGTGCGTGTGTGTGTGCTCTGACGGGAAAAAGTACTTGAAATTTTTTTTGTTTAGAATTTTTCTGAATCTCTTTTCGGCATAAAGGGTTTCTACTCATGTTTTTCGACGTTGTTACCCCTTGGTAATTATAAATTCAACTCCAATCAAGCATCTGGCGTAGAGGTAAACCAACTGCTTGAGGTGGCAAATATTTGCGGTTTGAATGCGGTCGGGCCTTTTTTGCAAACTAACGTTTTTGTGCTTTTTCGGATTATCATCTGTCTGTTTATTTTTGTCGGCCTAATTCCCCTAGCTCAATAGTTCAGCTTTGCACCAAGTTGTTGTAACCCTCATGCTTGAGACGACAAAGCCCGTGAGTTTGATTCCAGTTGAGACTTTTTTTGTAAATAGGAAGTTTTAGCTAAGTTAGATTATTGTCTGCTTATTTTTGTCAGCTAAGTTCCGCAGAGAGGACTTCTTTGAAAACATGGCTTCTTTATAGCATTCCCAGAGCTCTTTGTAGGGTTTTTAATGGTGCAGGCAAATTTGTTTGGGATATTTTGGGCTTTTGCAATTTTTATAGACAAAAACGATTTTTTTATTATTTTTTTTATTTGTTTTTCATATCATTCATATTTGTATCACAAGTGATGCAAAGCTCAGCTTCGCTTCTGTGTTGTTGCTTAATTTAAGTAGTTAAAATTTAGTTTTACTCGAGTTGTTAGATTTTTCAGCGCCACATTGGGAATCAATAAATTTCTGCAAAAAAGTTGATTTTTTTTAAAAAATGTTATAATGGTTTTTTGTTTTTATTGTCTTCTTCCTGTAAAATTTGTTGTCCAATTTGTCTATTTTAGTATGAGTGTAAAATATGCCTAAGTTGTACTTTTCTTTGAGATCCTTTTATTGCACCACGCAGAAAAAAATGACACTAATTTTTTTAGTTATTTTTTAGGTTTATGGTCGGAACACTCGGTGCTACTTGCATAGTAAACGGCTATCCTTGTTTATCTTCGATTTTTTCTACAGGAAAAAATAGAGTTTCAAAATTGACAGTTTAAGTGAATTAATTTGACCGACTACCATGTTTCAGGGTTGAATTCCCGTTGAACCCTAAAAAATACGAATATCTTATCTCCGGTAGTTGAAGAAGTAAGATTATTTAAGATTTTTTTCTGTTGATTTTTTTCTGCGTGTTCTGGCTTTGATCGTTGATTGGCCAGGTTTTGTCTCTAATTTTAGAAATTAACGCCACTTTCAAGTTGTTACCAAAATTCATGGAAAGGAATATGCTATCTAGTTTTAAAATTTTTAAACATGAAAAAAGTTTATCATCCGTATTTTACATTCATAAACTTGTCAACAGTTACCAAATAAAGGCAGTCTGTCTAATTCTGACTTTCAAAGAATGTAGCGGAAGATTTTTGCTGAGTTGGTTTGTTCCTCCAGACAAACTTCGATTTCTAACTAACACAATTTGAAAATTATTGATGGAATAAGCTCGAAATTGAAAATACATTTTCATCTGGGATTTTTTTCGCATAGTTAAGGGTGTTGAATTCAAGCAAAATTTTCATTATTTTCTTAGCGTGCCGCTAGTGATTCAATGAAGCTCAATTTTTTTTCCAAATTGAATTGATGAGGCTGGATACTCGTTTCAAATCGTTCATATACGCAAAATTTCTCATTTTTACGTGATATTACTACGTGTGAAGGTTTTCAAAATGAAAAATGATTATTGAATTGTGTTTTTATCAATTCAGTCTATGAATCTAGCCATCTTTAAATTTTTTCAATAGTTGATGCACTTGACATGTTTTTTTAATTTTAGTTATTCGTAATTGAAGAGCTTTTAAGGTTTTTTGTGCAAAAGTTGAACTGCATCAACTTGAAAGTTCAAATTGTTACAGAAATGCCAGTATCTCGGAAAAATTATGATTGACCAGGCAACTTTTATAACTTAATTCAAGTAAGATTTGTGCATATATATGCGAACCAAATGACTTATTTCTAGAAATTTGGATAAGTGTTACACTTGCGACCAAGAGTACTGTCAAGTGTCATGCGTTCGAATCCCACTTCGGTTACGGTTGGAGGGTTCCCAGAGTCATCCGCCCCTCATGGTGGGACGGGCTGCGGCGAAATTGATGACATCACCCTTCCCACGGTTGGTCCTGCATTGGACAGGACCGGGAGTTGATAAAAAAATTGTCAAGGGATACCAGAATCACCAGGGTGGTTACTTATTGATTTTGGAAAACTGTTGAAGTTGTCCAGACTGGACAATAGACTACTGGAATTGATTATTCAATTGGTTAACATAGGAGGCATTTTTTCGATATAGGGTAGGCACTTAGATAGAGTGAAAGCCTTACCTTTTTGTATAGTTACACGGCTTTTTTGTTCATAATTTTTTTCGTTAAGATTTTTCCTCAGTATTTATTAAGATAATTATCGAAAGCTGGTACGAAAGCTATTTATGGAGAAAGCCTTGTAAATTGTCAATCATTCGTTAAACGTGAATGACTTTTAATATCAAAAATGGACTTAAGTGTTCAGAGGTCCCGGCAGAAGTGTAAAACACCTGTTGACCTAGTTTTTTCTTATTTGGTCAAGTGTCAATCATGCAAGTCTCAATCATTCCTTGCTAAGAACTTTTGTCGGTGATGTCGCTCGTGAAAGTGTTAGAATGTTTTAATTTTGCTTTATATTAATTCAAATTCAATGAAAGTTTCTTGGCATTTGGCGCCATGGTAACACCCATGCTTGAGGCAATTTTTTTTTGCAACCGAATTTTCTGCTTCTTCGCGCTATCGTCTGTCTGCTTATTTTTCAGCCTAGTACCCATTAGAAGTAATTATGCATTAGTTTATTTTGCGGTAATAGATCGTAGCTTTTTTGTTCATCTCTTTCCTAATAGGCTCCTAAATATAGAATATTTTACTAAATTTTTATTATCAGTTTCTTGTTTTGCAAGTGGCGCGGCGAATTAATTCACCTCTGTTGAAACTACCTTACCATTTTTTCTCGCTATTTTACAATCTAGCGGCTTTTGAGTTAATCTTGCGGATTTTGAGTTACTGATCTAGCTGCTTTTGAGTTAAAGATTCCGATGTGCGTGCGGGATCCCGGAAGCAATGAAAACGGTAAATAAACTGAGCTTCAATCCTGACCCCTGCCGACCACTATTTTGAGATATCCATTTTTGGCTGACTGCCCCTAAATTTTTCTAGAGGCTCCTAAGGCGCCGAAATATACTAATTTTGAGGGCGATTTTGTGGTCAAAATGTTCCTAAAATGCCTAGAAACGCCTGTTTTTTCAAAAACTGACCTGCGGCTTAGAAAATTTGGTAAAAATGGGGTCTTTATAGAGATTTGAGGGAGCTCAAAAAATCAATTTGGTCGACCTAAAAAAAGGTCGACAAAATTTTTGAACATTTTTTGAAACTCCGCCCCCGCCCACTCGAGAAAATCCTAAAAAAATGTGACAATCTATTATAATTAACCTGAATAAAATGAGTCTCTGATTTGTCTTTGTCTTTTGCAGAATGAATTTTTCCCTAACCAAATTGGGAGTTATTGCGCTGATCAATATGTAAGAGAGAGCAAGTAATGTCAACACATTGTAAGGTAGTGACGGGATAAGTTTAGCCAACATTAGGAAAGTACTGACGGCTAAGTAATTACTCGCTCCTCTTTTGGAATAGTCACTGCTTCCATCAGAATAGTTAAATTGAATTGACGTCATATTAATTTTATGGCTATTCAACATGGGTATGACGAAAGTAAAATGATCGTCTTAGAAAAACTAGATGTATTAAGGATGCGTTTTCAAATAATCAAAGAAAGTTATTAAAGCGAGGGCAAAGTTTTTCACACCATCGTTTTTAGATTTTTCATATGGTTCGCACCAAGAGTTCCTCGAATCAGCATGAAACGTCCAATTCAGCCATTGCAACGTGCAAAGTAATGCCTGCACAGTACAATGAAAATCAACTGGCACTATGTTACGAGCCAGATCGGAGCAAGCTTCACGCCATTTACGAATGTATTATAGAGAAAATGCAGTATGTCGAAAACTCAAGACGTCGAATGGTACCGCAGTACTACGTGCGGTTTTTGGACATTGCCGAAAAGTATTCACAGTGGGTTAATGAAGATTATCTTTTGGAGGACAATGTTGACAATAGAAATCTGATGGTGAAGGTAGCGACAACTTTAATGAGATACAATTCTTACCATTGCGGTTTTATTCGATATGCTCGTGGTACTTGGTCACCAGAGATCAGATCAGTTTTAAATGATTCTGCTTTTTTAAATTATAAAATGATAAAGAAAACTAAGTAGCGAAACTTGGCAAATTGAAATTTCATTATCTGTTTTTGTGACATTTAATTTAGAAAATAGGAATTATCTTGGAGGCTGACAGTCTCTACTTAAGTGTGAAATTTCTATGGTAAAAACATGGAGCATCAAAACTCAATAGTCACGAAGATACAGTATTTTTTTGCAATGGCGCTCGCATTTGTGAGATACACAAAATTTCTCTCAAGCAAAATGGCCTAGGTTCCTGTATCTTCCCACTTAGTGAAGTGGTTAGACAAGTATTACATTTCAAATTAACAGATTTATGCTGTATACTTTTAATTTTTTCATTTTTGCTTCAGGTCAACTCTAAAACCATTGCTTCGTCCAAACTAACTCGCACCTCTAAACTGCTCTATGATTTGTCGCCTAAAGTCGATCGAGGCTATGTCAGGTTGAAATCTGAGCAGAAAATACCCACCATTAAGCCATTGGGCGTCACGAGCACTTCCTCAACCAAATTGATGACTGCAGATCAAAGCGAGTTTCTAGAAGAAGTGGAAAGCAGCGGCGAGTATTCGGAAGTTTCGACAATAACAGGGACTTCCGACGTCCGAAGTTTCTCCTTGCGTCTCCCAGATCGAATCATGAGGTTTCTGGAGTGGGATTGTTACAAAGTGACTGTTGAAAATAAGCAGTATAAATTGCCGCAAAAGATAACTGTTGTGAGAATTTTGGAGGATTATCTGGTTTGGTTTGTGAGCAATGTGGCGTTCAAGAAAAAAGGAGACACTTACACTTTGCAGACGGGCGAAGTGATCGAAGTTTTCGACCCTTTGACCTCGATAAGGTCAGTCAAATTGATGCTCGTTGTATCGTGAGATCTCAGCGGTGATTAAACGTAAACCGTGATTAAAAAGAGAACACTTTTCCATTAATTCTGCGTGCCCAAAACGTTAAATAAGCGTAGAAATTGTCTAAAATTTCGAAAAACATAACTTAAACTAGGACTGCTGTATAATTGTAGACATATATTAGCAATATTATTTTACCGTAGCAGTCTACCGTGGAATGAATGGTATTTGGAATAAATTAGTCTTGATATTTCAATGAAGTTTGCTATTTCAACCGAAATTTGATTGTGAATTTTGACAAAGCTTACATTTTTAGCTTGTGCAAAGAAATTTTGGACGGTATGCGTGTGTATTTTGACCTCGCTTTATCGTCTATACTTCTCTACAAAAATGAAACACAGCTATATTTCGACGCGCAAGTTTCTTTATCGGCTAACAGACTTCTAACGAAGTCAAAAGGATGCATAAAGACGGAATTTTCTGTGCGGGAAAATCGAGAAGAGGAAGCGTTGACGACAACTCGCAGACGGGCAAAAAGCTTGAGCCCAAGGAAAACTACTCGAAACTCGAGTAAGGGATTGCAAGATGAAACGAGTGATTCAGGATGCCCTGCAACTGACGTTGATTCGATTGAGGATTCGCCATCCAAGAGGCTGCGACTGATTAACCAAATCAAACTCCTGAGGTCTCCATCGATTGACGATGAAGACGCAGCTCCTCGTACTAGAAGATCAACAGATCAGAATGCATCGAATACTAATGATTCTGAATCAAACAAGAAGCTGGAACATTCTCTTGAAGTACAAAAAGCGCTTGATGACGCTCGAAACTGGAGTTTGATTCCTGTAAAAGCTCTAAATGAAAATGATCCGATTCCCCCTTGCTTAATTTTCGGAGCTCCATATTTGTTCCGGTTCTTCGTAAAGTTTCCGCAAATGATAACTGACAGCGAAGTTCCAGATAGCAGAGTGAAGATCATTTTGAAACATTTGAATTTGTTTCTGGAAAAGTATGTAGTTAGTCGAAATGATTTGTTTAATGTCAATATTTTTAAATGAATGGCTCGACCGTTTGTCAATTAAACTGTTCTCATTTTTTTTTGAGAAAAAAAATAGGCACCTAAGTATTTCCGGTGTTGAGTCTTTCCTCGTTTTTCAATCAGAATTTTTCAGAAATTGGATGGTTGAACTATGCTTTCAGTTCGAAAACGTTTATTCACGATCAATGAACCAGTCTGCGATTAATAGGACTCAGAATAGTTAAGCTGCGGTTTCAAACGCCAAAATTGACATAAAAATGTCGAAAACTGTCATTTCTCCGAGTAGAAACTGCCCGCATGTGATCTCAACCGACCCTGGAGTAGTTTCGAATATTCTAGACGGTTCTGAGACTGTTAAAAACCAGTCAAATCGATGCGTGGACTGTGGAAAACAGACTGTTAATTTGTGGCGCTGTTTGCAACTGGAATGTGCATTTGTCGGTTGCGGAGAAAAGTACAAAGATCACAGTCAGTCACATGCTCAGGTAGGAGCGGGAAGAAAAATAGAAAGTGTTGATTTTAAGGCGATAGTTTATGAAGAAATTCAAGAATAATCGTTGCAAAATATATGACAATATAGGTGACCTTGAGCTTCAGGTTGAGTTTTAGGTTCATTTAATTTTCACGCCTGTGATAAGCAAGCATTTGTAAATCTCAGCGGTTATTTTTTTTGGTTTTAATTGTTTTAAAACAATCAATGAACTAACAGTCAATTTTTAAGCATTTTAAATACCCGTATTGTTTTTAGTTTGTCCATCTAGAAATGAAAAGGAATTTTGTGATCGGTTTTCTTAACTTTTTAATATAACCTCGCAAAATCGGGTACCATATAATCCGGTGAGCTTGAATAAGAAATCACGATAAAGCCTTTTTGGTGTTATATTACAATTAGTGGCAGATACAAGTTAAATGGCTGGATCGCTCTTTGTTATACTTCGAACATTTTTTTCCAAGGCCAATTTTTATTTTATTCCAAAAGAAGTGTAAAATTTGATTTTTTGAACAACATATCTTTTGAACATATTGGAGTAATTTTTATATACAAAAACTATCTTAGCAGTATGTGCAAGTGATTGAAAATGAAAGGACTATATTATGCATCAGAGGTCTCAAATTGAATGCATGCACTACTCACTTGTTTTTCAAAATTACCACCTATGGTAACTTATCACCACTTTTCATTCGTGATTCGATCGCTGTTTATTAGATTTTGTGACTGAAAAAATAATCTGTCGACAACACCACCCGGTTAAAATTTTTTAAGAAGTTTTATTAAATTTGGAATGATTTATTTCCTATTGATTCATTTTCAGCTGAATTAGCGTCTAGGGTTTAATAATAACGCCAATGGTAGTTCATTCTAAGCTAACGTTTTAACTCATCCGCATACGCGGCACAAAAAAAAACACTTGAAAACGATACAAGTCACATGTTTTTGAGTTAATGGTTATTTTTGCAAAATTATTTGCGGCCGGACGGACCCTTCTGAACTATTTGCACAGAGCTCTTCTTGCAACCGGCTCTTCTTGTTAAGTTTAATTTTTTCGCTTCAAGAATTTGTTCGGCTTAAAAGGTTGTGGCCTATGTTATGTCTGCTAAGACGCCGCAGAATGCTTTTTTGGAGGCACAGAAAAGTTTCTTTCGTGTAAGTTCGCTTTATTGGAGGGGTATTGAAAACTTTGTATTCTAATGGTTTTAAATGCTCAATTTAAGTAAGTTTTAATCTATGCAAGTTTTTTTGTGATAGTTACTAGAAAATTTCAACATGAGTGGCATAACTTTCGATAACTGGTTTACTTTTGACATTACAGTATATTCACAATTCGGTTGGTTTGAATCGCTTCTCAATATTGAATCACTTGTCGTTAAAAGAAACACATTTCACAAATGCAATCAGACTTTTTTATAATCGACTTCGAAAAAATAGATTATAACTTTTTTTGATCTTACAGGTAACAAAGATTTATTTTTTGATTAGGTTTATTTCTTTAAATTATAATTAGAAGACATTGAAAACTTTATTGAAAACTAATTTATGAAAGGAGCGGCTAGTCAAAAGGCAAAAGCAATGTCCACTAGAGGCCTACCCTAAATACAGTCAGAACGAAAAGAAAAATGATTAACTATTTGCACAGAGCTCTTCTTGCAACCGGCTCTTCTTGTTAAGTTTAATTTTTTCGCTTCAAGAATTTGTTCGGCTTAAAAGGTTGTGGCCTATGTTATGTCTGCTAAGACGCCGCAGAATGCTTTTTTGGAGGCACAGAAAAGTTTCTTTCGTGTAAGTTCGCTTTATTGGAGGGGTATTGAAAACTTTGTATTCTAATGGTTTTAAATGCTCAATTTAAGTAAGTTTTAATCTATGCAAGTTTTTTTGTGATAGTTACTAGAAAATTTCAACATGAGTGGCATAACTTTCGATAACTGGTTTACTTTTGACATTACAGTATATTCACAATTCGGTTGGTTTGAATCGCTTCTCAATATTGAATCACTTGTCGTTAAAAGAAACACATTTCACAAATGCAATCAGACTTTTTTATAATCGACTTCGAAAAAATAGATTATAACTTTTTTTGATCTTACAGGTAACAAAGATTTATTTTTTGATTAGGTTTATTTCTTTAAATTATAATTAGAAGACATTGAAAACTTTATTGAAAACTAATTTATGAAAGGAGCGGCTAGTCAAAAGGCAAAAGCAATGTCCACTAGAGGCCTACCCTAAATACAGTCAGAACGAAAAGAAAAATGATTAACATTTTAGAAAGAGTAATATACAAAATTAATATTATTATGATTTTTTAAAGTTTTTTTTTAGTCTTTGATTTGCCTTGTATTGAGATGCTTTTTTTACAAGTCATTAGCTCACGCGTATATTTTTGCTGCCATTTATTGTACAACCCAGCTCATAGGAATTTTAGATTTTCTTAGAAAATTCCTGAAAAACGTCATGTCTCCTAAACTAAAACGATTCGTGCAGCCATGTTTTGGGGCTAGATTCGCAACCCTTGGGAGTATCCTGAAAGCATCCTACCATATAAGTAACAAAATGTTTATTGAAATATATCTTATACTGAGACAGCATTTCCTAGTTACACATGCCAGAGCGAGTGTCTTGTAATCGGGAACTAGACTGTTTTTCCCCTCAAAAAACTTTTCTTACACATTTGTTAGAAATTGTTAATTTGGTTCTTCCCAATCAGCCTAGAGGTAAGGCAGTTGTCTTTGTACCCTAAGGTCGGGGGTTTGAGTCCCGGCCGGACCTTATTTGTTTTCAATATCTGTGAAATTGAAAGTTTTTCGGGAAGATCGAATATTCGTCAGTTTGCTTGTTTTGTCGTCTTAGTTGCCGTATCAGGGATTTTTCTTGTTTTCTTGTGTTGGCTGCAATTTTTATTGTAGATACAAGTATTTTTGATTTACTCCTGTAATTAAGAAAATTAATAGCCCTGACGAAGTTTTAAGACTTAATTGTTCAAAGTTTTTTTGTCATCAATTTTCTATGGACTTTTTTGTATCCGACTCAATAGGCGTGTTACTACTTCATGTCAAATTGGTGGCCGCTCGGTTATTGCTAAAAAATTTTTTAAATTAATTCTGGCTGTTTTTCGACTGTTTTTCTGAAATTTTTCTGCAGTATGAAATTTTGGTTTCAATCGAAATAAGAGATTGTGGAAAGCTCATCTGGACAATCAGCTCATTTTTTCACTCAAAAAGTTATAGACCTATGAAAAGTCATTTTTGTCCCTTTTTACTTTTTTTTGAAACTATCTCGAAAAATGTCATCCCAAATCTGAGTTTTTGGATTCAATCAATGACAATCAAGTTGTGTGATTTCTTCTGAATAAATGGCTACGCCGCATTTTTGTACACAAAAAGCTTATATGTTTGATGTGTTGACCGTTTTTTTGGAAACTTTGACTTTTCTCGATAACTTTTATGCCAAATCTGAAATCAATGGTTTAATTGAAACAAGAGGTTGTTAAAAGCCTACATTCATAGCCGGCTACGCTCAATTTATTTGAGAAAAAAGTATAGCCTTCAAAAAAGTTTTAAAACCCTTTGAATGTTTTCGAAAACTACGCTGCCAGTTTTTAGGTTAAGTTTTCAATCGATAATTCTGGTTTTGGTAATCTTTTGGTTAAGCGGCCACCACTTACTTTCTCAGAAAGAAGTTGTGGAATTCTGAAAGCCGAAATTTTTTGGAAGTTCAATCGAAAGAACCGATTGCGAGAGTTTTTCCTACAGAAGCGGCCCTTCCTTATGCTTTTGCTGAAATCATGGCATTGTTGTTTAATGAGAAGATTTAGCTGAGGTTAAAAACATCTAATAAATCTTCTTTTAATCTAGTAGTGAATGAACTAAGGTTTTAGACAAAGTCCACTTGAATTTTTGAATTTGACCATAGAAACCAGCATTTGTATGACAAATTCGAAAATATCAAACAGGTACCTCCAGCTTTAGTTTGGCTCCCAATTTCCTTGCATCGAGATTATAGAAAATTTCGGTTCATCTAGTTTTTTGAACTTTTTCTTTCGGCTTCTCATGTTTTTTTTGTGTGCGTTGTATCGCAAGTGGCGCGAAGCTCCGCTTGGCTTCGCGGGTATATAATTGTCTCTGAATTTATGTACAAAAGCCTTCAGATCGTTTTCGGACATTGTTGTTACCCTTGCGATAGGGTATTGCAATTGATTACCAGACTTTTTTTCTGTAAACAATTTTGTCCACAGATTTTAGCATGCATGCAGTATAGTCATCAAAAATTTGCATTCTTTGGACTATTACTCTCACTGTGCATCCTCATTAGCGTTACTCTAATAAATTCGCCGTTCAAATTTTTTTAATTAAATTTTTTTGGTTTTTTGATTTTTTTTTCTACAATATAGTTGCTTTTATTGTTCTGATTTACCTCTGCTGTTTCTTTTAAATTTTTTTTACAATATAGTCGGTTTTAGCTTTCTTATTTACCTCTGTTGTTTTTTTTTGTGATATATATATATATTTCGATCAAAAACTTTATTCTGTCCAAATGATTTCAGCCTATAATTTATCGACTTAGTGACCTAATTGCGAGTTGTTTCAATGGAAACAGATTTTTGATGCTAACATCTTAGTACAAATTCAAAATTTTCAATTATAAATCATCGCTTTTGTTGTTTTTTTGTTCTTTTTTGCGGCTTGATAGGTTTCGGCCTTTATTATATCGGCCTCATTTTGCGTCCTTCGATGAGCGAAAAAAGTGTGTGTGTATGTGTGTGTGTGTGTTTGTGTGTGTGTGTGTGTGTGTGTGTGTGTGTGTGTCTGTGCTTTGAGGGCGGAGGGGGGGGGGGTGTTTTTCTATCTATTATTTAATTGGCGTTTCATGCGACGTGTGTTTAAGAGATACCTCTGTTGACATACTTAAGAAGTCCCTATGTTGATAGATTTAAGCTTTTTTAACGTGTTATTTTTTGCATGTTTAACCAAAGATTTGCACATTTAAGCTAAGTCGTATATTGAATGCTTGAAAAATTTCACTTGGCTCCTGTTTAAGAATTCGCTATGTTGGTATGTTAAGTGGCCAAAACTTTGAAAGGCTTCAAATGTTTACTCAATTCGACCTTTTAAAATCTGTGATAGGGCGAATGCTTTATCTCTACATTTTTTCTATATTCGCAACGTAAAACTATCAAATTTTTGTATCACCATTTATTGAACTTACTTTTTTTTTCTCAACATCATAATGGGTTCTTTCGGGGAACACTCAGGAGTTGAATATCTGGCGTGCAAGTTTGACGGCTCAAATCCTTTTGGTTTTCGTGGGCAATATTATGATTTTTTCAATTTTTTTTTTTTAATAAAAAAATTTGTCATAAATTAAAGTAACCGAAGTTGATTTTCTCATCCTTTTAGTGGCGTGCTGTCAGGGTAAGCTTAGGGGTCACAAATCTGGCGTTCAAAAATGACTGCTCAAATCCTTTTGCTTTTCGAGATATGGCTTTTTAAATGATTTTTCATTTGTTTTTCACAAAACTTAGATATAAAAAAACTAATCGATTTTGACATTCGAAATCCGCAAGCGGGGTGCTGTCAGGGTTCACTCAGATGACTGCTCAAATCCTTTTTTTTTTCAGGAATTCTGTTTTTTACTATCAGGGTACTGTCAGTGCCTCTAACATTTATTGCTCATTTTTTCTGTTTCTGAGATATGGCCTGTCATGATTTTTTCAATAGTTGTTCAAGAAAACTTAGATTTAAAAATAAGTAGTATAACTTGAAGTTCTTAACCCTATGGTGAGATGCTGCCAGAGACCAATATAGGGTAGCAAGTCTGCCCTTCAATTTTTTCTGCTCAAATCATTCTGTTTTTCGAGATAGTTTTTCATTTTTTATGAAAAAGAAACCTGATAGATGAGCCCAGTTTATCTTGACGGTTGCATTAAATTAGGGTCACTAGAACTTCGCTGTTTTAGTACACGTTTTAAGAAGCTATTTTTTACGTTCAACGATCTATTTGAAGCACCGTAGGTGCGAGTCATGCGCTTGTAACTTCTTATTAGTCTTCGGTCTATTAGTTTTTTTGGACTCTCGGGTTCCGGGCTGTAAATTAACGGCTTAGTTGTCTCATATTGTTTCAGTTGACGAGCAAATATTTTTTTTGAGTGTTTTGAGCGCGACGGGGGCTTTTCATAAGTTTAAAATCTCGTTGAGTTTTTTCGTCTCTAAAGGTTTCTGCCAAGGTATTTGTTACCGCTTGGTAATTTATCTTTCAATGGTAATTTTACATTATATTGTTTCGGCATCTTTTTGTTTCAAAACTAGCCTTATTCATTATGATAGATCTTTTTTCGACATTTTAGGTTTTTTTAAAAATTTTTTCTTGTGTTGTATGGCAAGTGGTGCAATGCTCAGCTTCGCCTCTGTGTAATAGTTTGCGGCAGCTGCTAATTATCACATAATATGCTGTAACCTTGACTCCCTGTTTATTAATGAGCATGATTTTGTTTTATTCTTACACAAAGGCGGTACATATGTGGGAGTTTGGTTATATTGGAGTTCTGGTTATATTGGAGTTCTGGTTATATACAGTTTTGGTGTGTTATATGAATAAGTTCTTAATGAAAACAAAGAATTAGGAAAATTATTCGGATGAATACAGGTCAAGAATCGTAATCAAAACTTGAGTGGATCATAGACATACAGTTCATACAGCTCATTTTTGTTTCAGCAAAACTCGCATCCACTTATGATCAACTTGGGAACCAAGCGCGTCTGGTGTATACTATGCAAATTTGAAGTACACCTTCAGCAATTACAGAACAGCTCGCGTGATGTTGCAAAAGGAGTAATGCCAAGGACACAGAAAGGGAAGCAGTCTCCCATCTCGGTTGCAACCGAGACATCGTTGCAGTCAAATGTCAAAATCAAGAGTCCTCTGAGCACATTGACAAGAGATAGTCAGCATTTATTCTCCCAAAGTGAGTTGAATGAGACGCTGTTAATATAGAACCAAAGAAGTTTTTTAGATTCGTTTTGTAATCGTTTTTAATGATCTACAGAATTGAGAAGAAATTATGTATTTGGGTCTTTTCAGGGGGCAGGGAGCACGTGAATTTGATTCAAGCTGTACTAGTGAATCAAATTATTCAAGAAAAACAAAAATTCCAATTTTTGTCCGGAATTGAGCTCTATTAAATTAAAATGTTTTACGACAAGTTATTAGCACTGTTTAGTTTTTAGTTAAAGTTATTAGCACGGTTTAGTTGCTACTGATCATGAATTAAGTTTTGATATGATTTTCTGCGAGTGAAAGCCCAGGGCAAGAGCTGATCGGCTGTTCATGGAGTACCGCAGTTGTGCCCCTAGTTAAGAATGACAGACAAGCACTTTTACGGTTAACTTCTGGGCTGGGTTATGTTGCCTCACCCTCAAGCAACGAGCTCGGACATCCGACCTTTAAATTGAGATGCGTAGACGTACCACTTCTCCACGGCTTACCATTATTTGACGTATTGAAATGTTATAGCTGGTTATTCTCAGTTTTTGGTTTTCATCTTTATTACCCCCTATAAAAATTCTAAATCTTAATTCAAGTTCTGAAAAATCTACCGAATTGAAGCAAAATATATTAGAAAAATGTTGGCAGCTGAAAATATCAAATCAATAGTCTTAAATCTGTTAAATGAATGATTTATTAGACGTATATGGCGTCGGCGTTGACGAAGAATCTGCCGGCTCTGCTGACGACAATTCGAGCGAATCCAGTGGATCTTGCAAATCATTCCCAGTCTCAAACCCAGTCGGATTAACTGGTCTCAAGAATCTAGGCAACACCTGTTACCTGAACTCAGCTGTACAGGCTTTGTCTGCTTGTACGCCTTTGACAAATTTTTTTCTGACCGCGTATGCTCCGACGGGTGATGAGAAACCGCCGATTGCGAAGTATTACCATCAGGTGCTGAGCGATATTTGGAGCGAAAAGAAGTGAGTTTTTTTCGAACTTTTGCTGATTATTTTAGGACTTGCGGCTTATCGGTCAGACCTAAATTATATCGCTTATCTTTTGTTTTCTTCTGTGTTCCTGAGTCATAGCTAGGATTTCTACGGATTGAAATTTTTTGTTGAGTGGTTTTCTGGTTGTTTTGTTCGGGTTTCATTGGTTTACTCTCAAGATGTGTTGAACAAGGCGTGTAACAAGGCACTTCTTCCCTGAATTACTACTACTGATGATAAGCGAATTTGTGAGTTTGAGCCAACAAAAGTTGCATAGACATCTGCATAGTTTGAGCCAACAAAAGTTACATAGTTGCGCAAATACAAAAAATCCAAAACCTCAAGTGCTTTTTAAGGTTTTCGAAACTTATATCGAAGATTCAAAGAAATCTCGGCTAGGATGAAACTGACCATGGATGGACCTAAGATTTTCTCGAGGGGAGAGATTTTCAACAAAAAAGTTGAAAACTTTGTTGATTTTTTGTGGTCGACCAAATTGATTTTCCCAGCTCTTCAAAATCAAGATAAAGACCTCATTTGGACCAAACTATCCCAAGTTTTTAGAATATTTGGACCAAAAAAAATGGCGCGCTTTCCCATTCAAAATTATCATTGTCCTCTAAAATTGCAAGGTTTATGTTTCAAACAACATAACAATCATAAAAAATCGATTTCAGAAATTTTCTCTTGCGATCAGCGATTTCAGAAATTTCGATCTTGCAATTATTTGAAATGCATAAATTATACATATTGTGATTATGGCTTTATGCTTTGCGATTTGTTACATGCAATATTAAGGTGGATGCCTTCAGTTTGTCATATTCCAAATTATTACTTGCAAAATTGTGTCTGTTTGTATTAGGTCCTTAGGTCTATTTGTATGAGTCCTTGAGACACTAAATCTCTTGATTGCAGTAGGTCGCTGATCGAATCCTAGACCTAGTCGAACTTTTGCTAATTAGAGGCTTGCTTACTTCTTTCTTATTGCGCTTTCTAGAGCTGCTTTTTGTTCTCGCTAGTGCGCGAAGCGAAGTTTTTCTCTGTAAGAGAACTTTTCTCTGTACTTTTCTGTATTTTTTTTTCAGGAAAAATCTTAAGGCTCAAATTATTTTTTTTTGCGGTCTGACTTTTAATTTCTTTTAAAGAGTAATAGAGAGTACTCTTATATAGGTTTTGGTGATTATTTTGTCCTTTTTTCAGGAAAAAGTCTTAAAATTTGTTCAGGTTCAATTTTGATTTTTTGCGGGTTGTTTGAATGTTGGTTTCTTTTTGATTTCACTTCATTTCCTTTGGTAAAAGGATGGCAAACTCCACTATCGAAGAGAAAAAATGTAAAGGCCACAAAAAACGTGATCGACTTCTAAATTCGAAACTGGAATTAAATTATCAGATTTCCCAGAGAAGTGAAAATTTTATCTATCGCTCCAGTTTTCTCAAATTGAATTCATCCTATCAACAAAGCACCATTCATAAAATGTCCATGAAATTCAATGATATGTAAGAGCATATAAATTTTTTTTAAATTCGAAAGTTCACGTTTTTTCTGAAAAGATGTCAGTATTTTTGCTTCCTTGCTCTACTTACTCTTTTTCAACTGTCTGTTGGCTATGCTCAATGTTTTCAATGATAAGAAATCAAAATATTCAATTAAAAACTTTTCAAGCTAGTCTGAACTTATTTAATCGAGTGTTATCGTTTGCAAAAAAAGCTGAAGACAAGGACTCATGGATAAATAAAATGATTAACAGTTTTAAACAATTCTTGTGGGAAATCGAATGTTCAGAGATACTAGTTGACGCACACGATGTGAATTTGAGTTTAATAAGTATAGCTGAAATTGACCAGAAAATTTCAAAATTGATTATCAAAGGTTTTATTGCTATTCGAGTGACCTATTTGGATCTTAAATTACTTCAAAGGATGTTTTCTATGATGTCAAAAACCACAGGTGGTCATAATGGCTTAAAACATGTTGATACCTGCATTGTTTTAATAGCGTTTTTGAACCGTATTTTTTGGACATTCCTGCAAACTAACCAAAATCGTTCCTATTTTGAAGCATGACCTCTTTAAAAAAACTCGAAACGTAAAATTTTCCAGAAGTTGATTTCAAGTTGTTTCAGAATATCTGTCTTTCATAATTTTGAAAATTTAATTTGAGATTACCTATATGGGCTCCAAGAAGGATTGGCGAACCCTAAATTGAAATGGCGTTGTATAACCTTAAAGTTTTGTAGAAATTAGAATAAAATGTCAGCAATCACTGATGTAATTACCCTTGCGATAAGGAAGGGTATTGCAATCGTGTACTAAACGTTTTCCTGTAAATAGTTTTGCTCACAAGACTCTTCTGGACTCATCTCTAGTGGTTTCCTAATGTATTCAATTTTCTTAGCGTTCCCGGCTCACTTAGCCTGGAGGTAACGAATACGTCTAGAACGGCAAAGGACCTGGATTCAAATCTAACCAGGAATTTTTTTAACGGGAAATATTCTGTTTCAAATAAAATTGTCGGCCAATTATTTGTCTGCTTATCTTGTCTCGGCTCATTTGTAGAAACGTTTTTTGCTTGGAATCGTTTTTGTTTTGGAATTTTTTTTTGCACATCTTGGACTCGACACGTATTTTTGCACATTTTTTTTGCTTCGCTCATTTTTCTTTGTTGATTTTTTGTGGTCGACCAAATTGATTTTCCCAGCTCTTCAAAATCAAGATAAAGACCTCATTTGGACCAAACTATCCCAAGTTTTTAGAATATTTGGACCAAAAAAAATGGCGCGCTTTCCCATTCAAAATTATCATTGTCCCCTAAAATTGCAAGGTTTGTTTCAAACAACATAACAATCATAAAAAATCGATTTCAGAAATTTTCTCTTGCGATCAGCGATTTCAGAAATTTCGATCTTGCAATTATTTGAAATGCATAAATTATACATATTGTGATTATGGCTTTATGCTTTGCGATTTGTTACATGCAATATTAAGGTGGATGCCTTCAGTTTGTCATATTCCAAATTATTACTTGCAAAATTGTGTCTGTTTGTATTAGGTCCTTAGGTCTATTTGTATGAGTCCTTGAGACACTAAATCTCTTGATTGCAGTAGGTCGCTGATCGAATCCTAGACCTAGTCGAACTTTTGCTAATTAGAGGCTTTCTTACTTCTTTCTTATTGCGCTTTCTAGAGCTGCTTTTTGTTCTCGCTAGTGCGCGAAGCGAAGTTTTTCTCTGTAAGAGAACTTTTCTCTGTACTTTTCTGTATTTTTTTTCAGGAAAAATCTTAAGGCTCAAATTTATTTTTTTTTGCGGTCTGACTTTTAATTTCTTTTCAAGAGTAATAGAGAGTACTCTTATATAGGTTTTGGTGATTATTTTGTGCTTTTTTCAGGAAAAAGTCTTAAAATTTGTTCATGTTCAATTTTGATTTTTTGCGGGTTGTTTGAATGTTGGTTTCTTTTTGATTTCACTTCATTTCCTTTGGTAAAAGGATGGCAAACTCCACTATCGAAGAGAAAAAATGTAAAGGCCACGAAAAACGTGATCGACTTCTAAATTCGAAACTGGAATTAAATTATCAGATTTCCCAGAGAAGTGAAAATTTTATCTATCGCTCCAGTTTTCTCAAATTGAATTCATCCTATCAACAAAGCACCATTCATAAAATGTCCATGAAATTCAATGATATGTAAGAGCATATAAATTTTTTTTAAATTCGAAAGTTCACGTTTTTTCTGAAAAGATGTCAGTATTTTTGCTTCCTTGCTCTACTTACTCTTTTTCAACTGTCTGTTGACTATGCTCAATGTTTTCAATGATAAGAAATCAAAATATTCAATTAAAAACTTTTCAAGCTAGTCTGAACTTATTTAATCGAGTGTTATCGTTTGCAAAAAAAGCTGAAGACAAGGACTCATGGATAAATAAAATGATTAACAGTTTTAAACAATTCTTGTGGGAAATCGAATGTTCAGAGATACTAGTTGACGCACACGATGTGAATTTGAGTTTAATAAGTATAGCTGAAATTGACCAGAAAATTTCAAAATTGATTATCAAAGGTTTTATTGCTATTCGAGTGACCTATTTGGATCTTAAATTACTTCAAAGGATGTTTTCTATGATGTCAAAAACCACAGGTGGTCATAATGGCTTAAAACATGTTGATACCTGCATTGTTTTAATAGCGTTTTTGAACCGTATTTTTTGCACATTCCTGCAAACTAACCAAAATCGTTCCTATTTTGAAGCATGACCTCTTTAAAAAAACTCGAAACGTAAAATTTTCCAGAAGTTGATTTCAAGTTGTTTCAGAATATCTGTCTTTCATAATTTTGAAAATTTAATTTGAGATTACCTATATGGGCTCCAAGAAGGATTGGCGAACCCTAAATTGAAATGGCGTTGTATAACCTTAAAGTTTTGTAGAAATTAGAATAAAATGTCAGCAATCACTGATGTAATTACCCTTGCGATAAGGAAGGGTATTGCAATCGTGTACTAAACGTTTTCCTGTAAATAGTTTTGCTCACAAGACTCTTCTGGACTCATCTCTAGTGGTTTCCTAATGTATTCAATTTTCTTAGCGTTCCCGGCTCACTTAGCCTGGAGGTAACGAATACGTCTAGAACGGCAAAGGACCTGGATTCAAATCTAACCAGGAATTTTTTTAACGGGAAATATTCTGTTTCAAATAAAATTATCGGCCAATTATTTGTCTGCTTATCTTGTCTCGGCTCATTTGTAGAAACGTTTTTTGCTTGGAATCGTTTTTGTTTTGGAATTTTTTTTTGCACATCTTGGACTCGACACGTATTTTTGCACATTTTTTTTGCTTCGCTCATTTTTCTTTAACGTTGCTTTTAGTGTTTGATTTACTCAAACAATTTGTAATTTCGCATACCTTGACTTCGTATTTTCTTTTTTTTTGCTTCGCTCTGAAATTTTCTTTGGTCCAAAATTTTTCGGCCTACTTGATTTTACTTGATTTTTTGACCGTTTTTTTTACTTGATTTTACTAAAAGGAAACTTAGTTTTGGTAGCCTTATTTAGCGCTACTCGGGCAAAAAATACTTTTGAAAATTTTAGTGAAACTATTTGAAAAATTTAATATATAACGAACGTTACTCGATCGCTTTACCCGCTCGAAAATAGACGAAAAATCAGAAAATTTCAAACCGGTTTTTCTTGACATAAGAGTATTTTAATATCTTTCGAATTTTGACTGAAAGTGCTCTAATATGATATATCACTCAACTCACTCTGATGTTTATTTGTGGTAGCTGTTAAAGGTGGAAAAAAAGAAAATAAAACACACCCGAATACAAAGTTTCAAGTTAACCTTTTCAAGTTAAGTAAGATTTTTTTTTCTGAATGTTGATGAAAAACGTGTTGAATTTTCCTTTTTCAAAACCTAGAATTTATTATTGATAGTCCCAGCTACTAACAAAACCAAAAAATCGTTTTTCAAGAGTAATGAACGTAAGGAAGTCTCTAATATAGGTCTTGCTGATTTTTTTGTTTTTTTTTTCAGGAAAAAGTCTTAAAAGTCGCTAGTAACTACAGATGTGCATTCATACATAATTATGCATTTACAAATGCACTCAGGTATATATGCTTTTTTTTGAGTTCAATTGAAGTTCATCTGCTGAAAATGTCGTAAATAGTACTCTCCAAATACGAACGTAGAAATGGCGCGAAAAAACGAACGATTTCTAGTTGCGAAAGTGGAATTTAATTCTTAGATTTCCAGCGGAATAAAAACATTACCTATTGATCCAGTTTTCTCAAGTTGGGTTAATGTTATCAAAAAAGTGCCAGTCATAAATCATTCTAGAAATTCAAAGAGCTTTAAGGTCATCTGTTTTTTTCTTCGATATTTGAGTTTTTTCATGTTTTTTAATGTTTACTTGCGTTCATTACTCTTTTTCAATCTTCGATTGGCTATGTTTTAAGTTTTGTGGTCAGAAAGTTTTGTGCTTTCTGTATACCAATCGGCCATTCTTGCTTTTGAGTTCTTTTTGTGATGATAAACAATAATAGCTTGAAGCGCCGTGTTTCAGGCCTAGCTTCGTCATTCCGAGTACTTTCGTGCAGGGCTTTAAGACGGTGAATCCGGCGTTCAGAGGATACAATCAGCAAGACAGTCAGGAGTTCCTCAGGTGCTTTATGGACAGGCTTCACGAAGAGCTCAAGAAACCCATAACATACCCTGTTAGTTCGCATCTAAAACATACATCTATTGCGTATAGGAGTTTTGTTTCTGTAATTTGCAGGCAATTGGGTTTTTGAAGAGGAGTCCGCTGCAATCGCTTTTTGTTCCGACCATTTAAAAATGGGGAGGAACTTTGTATTCGGATGTGTTTTAGTTTGCTCTTTTTTTCTTTTTTTCCACGCGAAATCGGGTACCATAAATAATCATCGGAATGGATCGAGTCAAATATCACATTTAAGCCCTTTCAGTTTTGATGCGAACGACATAAAAGATTTTGAAAAAAATTTCCCAGTCTTGAGAAAAACTCAATTGAAATTTTTGATTTTTTGTCTAATTTCGAGCTATTAACGCGATCGAGTAACGATCGTTTTATAAAAAGATGATAGAAATTGGTCAATTAAGCTTAAAAAAATGATTTTGCTTAAAGAAAAACTAGTTGTAGACGCTTCATTTAGCGCTTCCTTGACGATCAAAGTTTTTCTATTTTTTTTTGTTTTCCTTTTTTCATATTTTTATTTGTTTTTCGTTTTTTTGAAGATAGCAGTTGTCACTTGCCTACTTCCCTAATTTTATATGCTTTTAAATAGTTCTTTCATTACATTACCCACAAAAAGCAACACTAATTTGAAGAAAAAATGAAAAAAAAAACTTATTTTTTTTAAATGTGGTCGGAAAGTTCTATGCTACATACACATGAAAACATAAAAAGACTCAATAAATGCAAAAATAGTACTCAATAAATGCAAAAAGACTCAATAGATGTCAAAAATGCCAATGAGTTTGCGTTTTTTGGCGCAGACTCCCCCTCAAACTTATGATAAAGAATAATCTAAAGGTTGATCAGCCAAAAAATTGCCCCTGAAATAAATAAGGTTTTCATTTAGTGGAGTAAGGCTGTAATCTGGTTTCAGGTATGTCTTTCCTGTAATGCTACAATGCACGCACAGTTCTCGGACGGAGGAGGAGGAGGATCTGCGTCGGGACATCAGTTCTGTGAACATTGCTTCCACTCTCTCACATCCATGCAGAGAGATGACCTCGTTTATGAGTAAGAATTAAACAGTCGCCTCTCTAAAGATCGAAATCAGTGCCGTGGAAATAGCTTATTATGAAAAATTTTCATGAACTAAATGCCTCGAAACGAATAAACGAGTTTTCTCTTCCTAATATTAATTTTTTTTTTGGTTAAGCTTAATCAAAATTGAATTGAACTTTTAGTAACCGAAGTAGGTAGTTGACATATATAATAAAGTTCTCTCCCTTTGGCCCAGTAATTCAAATCGTTTAGACATTCTCCTTAATCACTGTCACTTTTCAGGTCCTCGATAAATAATGAGGAGCATTGCGACCCCGTGAGATCCCCGCTTTCATCTGGAGGTCAGCTGGCAAGCTCAACAGCAGACTCCGGTTATTCCGACCAATCTTTCCTCTCGGCATCCGCTTCCAACTTGCCCCTCAGGAGGAGTCCCGACCTTTACCAGCAGCAGCTATCGTCTCCGAACTCACCAGGAACTGCAGACGGAAGGCGTGGATTGGACAGAAGACGAACTATATCAGCATCGTCAGCGTTGTCGTCTTCAATGTCAATCGGAAGTACTGCCTGTTTTCTGTTTTTTTTTTCTCAAACCAAGCTTTATTAAATTTAGTGGATTGGTAGAAATAAAGTTTAGATGATATACTTGAGTGAGAGCATGTTTCGAGAATCGGGGGTTATGAACCATTTAGTTCATGCTGAATATATCATAACATTGGAATGTTTTTTTATTAACAAACCATTATAAGGGCTAAACATTTCAATATAGTGGGGATTGATTTGGCACATGTTTTCGGTGATCATGCAAATGGAAAAGGTCAAGCTATCTATCCATCTGTGTGTTCAATTCGATACTAGTGCTTCCCTTTAGATATAATTCTTACGATAACTTCTCTCTTTAAGAAGGTTTTCAAAAAATTTATTGTTGTAATTTAGCGAGACAGAATAAATCTGCGCCGTCAGCTGTCAGATACTCCAGTATCATCTCGGAAGTGTTCAACGGAAAGATCCTGAGTTCAGTTCAATGTCTCCATTGTCATCAGACGAGTGAAATATCCGAGACATTCCAAGACCTCTCTCTCCCCATACCTAATAAGGTAAGAAGGTAATATTTTTAAGAGTCGATGACCGTAGTGCAGATTCTTATATAGGTCGCGATGGTTTTTTTTCAAGATGGTTTTTCAGGCTCAAATTTTTACTTTTTTGAGGTTTAACTACGATGTTTTGTAAGTGCAGTTCCTTTCCTTTGTGAACAGGAATGTAAACTTCACTATCGAACAGCAAAAGTGTAAAGGTCACGAAAAAAGTGATCGACTTCTAGTTTCGAAATTGGAATTTAATTTATAGATTCAGCGAAATAAAATTTTTACTTATTTATTCAGTTTTCTCAAATTGTGACATTCATTGTGCCATCCAGTTTTCTCAAACTTTTTTCAAAAAATTGCCAATCATAATTTGTTTTAGAAATTCAAAGAGCTTTAAGCGCAAAATTTGGCAAAATAGGTTCTACAGCGTGTTCGTAAGAGTTCGGGGAAAAGCAAGCGTGTTCATAAGAGTTCGGGAAAAGCAATTTCGGTCGACCTTAAGAAAACCCCCCTCGAGAAAACACTAGATCTTCTGAGTTTACTAGGCTCGCATATGTGAAGCTGTGAGAGAAAAGTTGTCGAAATAGAAAGATTTCTGATTACAAATTGTGTTTAAGTTAAATTACTGATTTTAAATGAGATTATTCTGAAGTTAGTTCAAGTTCAGAACTATTTCTGCTGTAGGAGGATTTATATCTCATTCATCATCAGCCTCAATTGGTCCAACCAACCGCGATGGGGTCTGCAGCTAGCTTACTCAATTCAGCATACAATACACAAGGATGGGTCACCTGGATTTATGACTGGATTAAGAGGCTAGATATTTGTTCCAGGCATCCTTACAGTTTCATATCATAATCAACAAATGTTAATTCTCGAATTTTGATGGAAGCTGATACTTGGTCATTTTTTATAAGGTTGATCATGGCAAATATCAGTTCGATAAGGAATAACATCTGGGATTTTGCAATGAGGTGTAGATTAGTGAATGTTGGGGCTGAAGAAAATTGTTGAACTTGCGCTTACAATCCTCCATATTGCCATTCTCCTCCAAAAATAATGCGAAACTTTGTAGTAATTTACTGAAAAGATAAACGCAGATTTAGTAAATGCAAATGGGAATGATGAAAATGTATGTGTCCATGAGTCCATAATGGATATCTAACCTAAAGAAGTTATAGAATCTTCCTGTCAACAAAAGATAAGACTGTGTTGGTTTTTCAGTATGTTCTGGGGACCTGTGATCACCTTGAACGATTGTTTGGCCGCGTTTTTCTCGGCAGACGAATTGAAAGGAGAGAACATGTACAGCTGCGAAAAATGTCAGAAGTTAGTTCAAGTCTCTCACAGTTTCTCTCATAAATCACATTATTTTTCAAACCAGAGTCTCAGTGATTTAATTGCGGCTGCTATTTCTTAATCCCCATTTTTTTACACAAGCAATGCAAGTAACGGAATATTTGTGCTCGGGGTGGTTTTTTTCCCACAGCTTTCGACTTTTTAACTATTTTTGACGACGGGATTTTTTGTCATTCAAAAAGTATTGTTAAACTGAGCTTAAATCCGGAAAGATATTTCACCTGTGATCATTTTTTGTAAAGTTATGGGTGTAAAAAAATTGCCATTTTGGCCAATTTGGGAAAATTAACGCGCGATATATTTCGCGCTATTAACGCGTCAGCGAAGATTTAATCCGTCATTGAAATTGTTCCAAATTGGTTGAAGGTAGCTTTTTTTTAGCTATAATTGATTTGTTACTAGCAGCGAAATTTATCACTTTGTACGTAATATGGCGCGTGGGGGAATGATTTTTACAAAAAATATCAAATTAAAATAACAAATTTTCATTTCATTTTTTTTTACATATAGTTTTTTCATGTTATTACTGCTCCATAGACTGCTCTTTAAATTGAGGCATGTTAGTTGGTAATTTTTTTTCAAATTGACTGGCACTGCTAATGCGTCATAATTGGCGTGCGTCACTTAGAAATTTTGTAGACTCAAAGTTTTACTCATTCAGCTTTTCCCAGTAGCGTTATCGGTCAAATTTTTGCTTGTGCATGCGAAGTGCAACTTCGCCTTTGTGTAGATAATTGTTTTTGAATGGTAAAAAATCGTTAAAAACTTTCATTTTTTTCAAAACTGCAGGTTGCGGAATGGCCTGAAGGTGTCCAAAGTCCAGGAACTGCCAGAGGTGTTGTGTGTACACCTCAAGAGATTCAGACACGAGTACCTGTTGAGCTCCAAAGTGTCCACTTATGTCTCATTTCCAATGGAGGGACTATCTCTGGCTCCCTTTCTAAGTGACCAGAATCAACCGGCTATGTATGACCTCGTGGCCACTATTTGTCACTACGGATACGCTTCAGGTTTGACTATTTAAATAATTACACAACAAAGCTCGTGTTATAGTATGGACTTTATTTTTTCCAACCTAAGTCGCAAATATTGTTGCGACGCAAATATTGTTGCGAAAAAATGTGTTCATTTTGAAAGTGCTCATTGTGATCAAAAACCTGCTATTAAGCACAGCCAATGCTAAGGATATTAACACAGACTATTATATTACAAATAGCACTTTAGCTTCAAGGTATCGTGGATCTGTAGCGTAGAGGTCGAAAGGAGACCAGCAACAAAATAGAAGGGGTGGAACCTGGGCAGGGGTGGATGTTTTTAATGAATTTTTCGTGTACTAGTTAAAATGCGTCCGCTCTATAAATTTAGGCATGTTAGTTGATTACTTCTTTTTTTTCAAATTGACTGGTAGTGCTAACACCATACTACTAGTGTTATAATTGGCTTGTGTCACTTAGCAATTATGTAGACTCATATTTGGCGTGCGACACTTGAGAAATTTTGTAGACTCAACGTTTTACTCATTCAGTTTTTCCCAGTAGCATTATCGGTCATATTTTTGCTTGTGTATGCGAAGTGCAACTTCGCCTCTGTGTAATGATTTGTTTTCGATTGAAATTAATCTTCAACTGTTTGCCATAATCGAATCTAGTTAAGAACTCCCCTCTGCATGTTTGACGCCCATTTCCGTTCAAAATAAGCAAACGAACTAGGTTTTACCCAAACGAACTGGGTTACCTTTTATCTGTCCGTATTTACTTCTATTGTTCTGACCACCGAATTAGGTGCGAGAAAAAACTGTGCCCTTGGTTAGGTCTTAGTTTGCTGAGCATGATTTCACAAGGATTTTCAAGTACTCCGAGCAAAGAAGATATTGAAATTGTTTCGAAACAGTAGTTTTGCTGTCTGAAAAAAGGTTTGAATTTAGTTTTTGAGGATGAATTTGAATTTTTTGATGATTTTAAAAGGACTCTAAATTACTCCACAAGCAAAGTAAAGTGCTGATTTAAAATATCCGGAAAAAATGAATGAAACTAGAAATTTAAAACGCGTTTTTCTCAAATTGGATTGATTTTAGACAAAAATTGATGAAGAGCAATCTAGCTTAAATTTTTAACAAATTTAGTATGTTGCAATTTGTTTTGGAAAAATCGGGCCTTAAAATTTACCCCCAAAAACGATCATTTTTGGCTTTGTTTAGCCAATCAAAATTTACTCTACACCTATTTGTTCATGTACTACAAAAGTATATCACTGCAAGCCTCTTATCTAGCTCAACAAATTTCAAGAAGGGTGTAATATAAAAAGGGTATAAGATAGTGGTTATCTCCAAACGTGGCCCAAAAGGCTCAAAGAATGTTCTTATTTGAAAAAAAATGTTGTTTTATAGAGTGAAAATGACATTTTTGACTATCAAACAAAATTAAATTTGTTTATAAAAATTTGATACAATTACACCTTTCCTAAATTTTGTTGAGCTAGATAAGAGGCCTGCTGTGATATAGTTTTGTTAGTAAATGAACAAATAGAATTGGAGTAATTTTTGATTGACTAAACAAAGCCAAAAACGATCGTTTTTGGGGTAAATTTTGAGGCCCGATGTTTGCAAAAACAAATTGCACCATATTAATTTGTAGGCATGATTGGTCTTCATCAATTTTTGTCTAAAATCAACCCAATCTGAGGAAAACGCGTTTTAAATTTCAAGTTTTATTCATTTTGTCCAAATACTTTAAATCAGCTCTGTAGCATGCTGTCAAAGACGTTTCGAAAACGATTTTTTGTTGTCTAGAAAAAAATAGTTCAAAATTTGTTTTTTAGAACAATTTAGCGTAGATTGGGTGGAATTGAATCACTCTGCACTCGGAAAAGATACTCAAATAGGCATCATACTGTTTGCTTAATCTCGGTTCTCGCTCAAATTCATTTTTCAGCGTTTTGAATTCAGTTTTTATAACTGAAATAAAAACGTGTTTTGCAATTTTTTTCATATTGGAAATTTCAATGATATCATTTCAAATTTAAAATGGGTTCACCTACCATTTTTTCAGATATGAGCCTTAATGTACTCTGGCCAAAATGGACTATTTATGAGAGAAGTAATTAGAAAAGAAAACGTTTTTGAAAACTCAGTGATATTATAAGTTTTTCGTATCTTTTACTATTTCGCCCCACGGGTACCTATTAACAAATATCCCCCTATAAAGAATTAAATCAACAGTTAAGCATTGAATTTTATATGTAGGAATGAACATCCCCCTTTTTGCAAAAGGGGGTTGTAGTTAAAGACACCCCGTTTTTCTAAATGGGGATTGTTAAAGAATTTTCGGGAATTAAACTATCTATTTGTGCAGTTTATCAGCAGGGATTGGCGGTTAAACGAACTAAACTGACAGAATGTCAACCAAGCCGAAGTCAATAACCGACATTTCTCGGCCCGTTGTGCGTGCGAGAACTTGACTGGTTGGCGATAGACGCCACTACTGCAATTTTTGGCTCTTTTCTACGTTTTCTTATTTAATTTAACGTTGTCATGCTGTAATGAAATTTGGCATGATGAACAAGCTAAATACTGTGAACAGATTTTTTCTTCATACTCTAGATTGTAATGTCACGCTTTAGGTAGTGATGGCTTTTTCTTTTGTATTTTTTAAGGGAAAGTTTTAAAATTTGTTCAGGCTCAAAATTATTTTTTCGCGGTTTACTTTTGATGTTTTTCAGTTCAGTTCATTTTCTGTGTTAAAAGAAAGGCAAACTCCGCTATCAAACAGCGAAAGTGTCAAGGTCACGAAAAACGTGATCGATTTCTTATTTCGAAAGTGGAATTTAATTATCGAATTTCCCATCGAAATAAAAATTTTACTTGTTGATCCAGTTTTCTCAAATTAGGTTAGTTTTATATAAAAAAAGTGTCAATCATAAATTGTTTTGAGAAATTCAAAGAGCTTTTGTGCTATCTATGTTTTCTTTGAAATGCGAAAGTTCAATTTTTTTCAAAAAATTAAGTCCGTTTTTTTTGTTTACTTGCCCTCATTGATCCTTTTCCAACTGTATGGTGGCTATGTTTGTAATTATATCTTCATCTCGAGTATTCATGTTTCAGGCGGCCATTATACGGCGTATGCTCTGAATGAGTTGAACAAGTGTTGGTACGAATACGACGATCAGATTGTGACTCAAGTGTCAGCGTCTCAGATTCAGAAGGCTGAAGTTTATGTCCTTTTCTACAAGTAAGCGAAGCTTAATTTTGTGGCGCAGTGGTAGGAGGCTTGACCTGTTTTTGATATGGTTGATGGTTCGAACTCGCTCATGCGCTGCAATTTAAAAGTTGATCTCTTGTTAGATGGCCTTATCCTGGGTAACCTCGGGTAATGAACCGTCGGGTTCAGATACATCGATTGTGCTTTTAAAGTCAAGTGCTTTTAGATTTGTGAAATTGATTTCGCCCATTAAAATTTAAGATAATATAGATTTTTAATGCAACCCTTAATTTATTCCTAAATAATTATAATGATCAATTCGAACGTAGCGTTGTAATTGATTCTAGGAAAAGAGCTAGCCCTGAAATGGAATCACACCGTAAACAAGTCAAAATCCGATCTCGATCTGCTAGACATGAAGGACGAGTACACAACGTGAACGAAACAAAGCATTCAGCTGTCGGCTCAGCAAGAAGCATGGAGAATATTGCTCATGAAAATTTAATATCCTCCCCGAGTGATAGTCCGACTTCAGTAGCGGCGTCGACCCGAAGTCAAACTCGTAGTCGTCAGAGAAACTCGAAGTCAGTCTCAGTTGGCTCAGACACAAGTCAATTCGGAGACAGATTGATGCAGTACTACATATCGAAGCACTGGTTGAACCGATTCACGACATTTGCGGACCCGGGACCGATAACCAACTCCGATTTCCTGTGTCAGCATAGCAGTAAGATTCGTTATTCCAATAAAAGCCTTGAGCTAAACAATTATTTTGTCAGATTTTTTTGGCAGAACCTTGACAATTTTGTATTATCAGCAGAAAATTTACCGATATTTGATATTTATAAATATAGGTACAAAGTCAAATTAAAAATAAAAGCATCCTGAGATATTACCCGAAAAGCATAAATAACAACGTTTAAGTTTGGATAACAAATGATAATTGAAAGTCAAAACGTACCCGAATTCGGTTGAGACGGTCGAAACGTATCTTGCTTGGGTCGAGACGGACGAAACATACCAAATTTTGATCGAGCCGGTAGCCGGTCAAAACATAAAGCGAGCGTAGTGTAATAGTACGACTTCTTTTTTTTCCAAACTATGTCGACTTAAGCTTACGGCTGTTAATAGCATGTGCTTTGACATTCGATTATTAATAAGCTAAGGCAGTTCATGTGTTTTAAAGTCATTAAATGAACCAAAAAAAAGCTATTTGTTTCAAATAACAGTACAATAATAAAAACTCGATTTCATAATTTTTTCAACTCATTATATCTCTTATTTTTTTAAATGAATAATTTATACAAATTTGGCATTATGCTTTCCAAATCGGTACATCCAAGATTATGGTGGATACCTTTGCTTTGCTGTTTTTCAAATTATAAATGCAAAATTGTATCTATTTGTATTTGGTGGTAACGAAAGTTACGGAATATTTGTGCTCGTTGCGTTTTTTTTCTTCAGACAAATTTCGGCTTTTTAACTAGCCATTTTTGACGGAGTTTTTTTCATTCAAAAGGTATTGTTGTCCTGAGCTTAAATTTGAAAAAGATATTTTTCCTGTGATCATTTTTCGTAAAGTTATGGGGATTAAAGATTCGCGCTTTTAATGCGTAAGCGGAGATTCGCGCTTTTAATGCGTAAGCGGAGATTTACTCCGTAGCAGAAATTGTTTCAAATTGATTGAAGGAAGCTTATTTGCCATAATTGATTTGTTACCAAGAGCGAAATCTATCACATTGTACTTTATATGGCGTGTGATGGGATGATTTTCATTAAAAAAAATTCAAATTAAAAAATTCTTTTTATTTTATTACATTTAATTTTTTCATGTTATAACTGCTCCATAGGCCGTAAATGGCAGTCGAAACATTCAGGGCTTTGCCCTTATACGAGCAGTCTTCTTAGCATATGCAGCTGTTTTATTTGTGGCACGTGTTTGTAAATTGCCCGTGTTTGTAAGTTTGTGTTGTGCAGATTAATTCTCCTGGTCGATGGATTGAATCCGCCACAGCAAAAGTTTTTCTTTTCAAGATTTATTTTAATCTTTTCTTTCTTTTTTTACTTCATTGAGCTGCTTTTTTGTTGTTGTTTTTTGCTAGTGTTTGCGAAGCGCAGCTTCGCTCACCTCTGTGTTTCATATTTGCACATGAACCACATATTCGATGACTTTGACTGTGTGCAATAGATATATATGCTGTCTACATCTTTAGTACACATTAACTGAAGCTTAATAATTTTTAACCTGTAATTCGGTAAATCTCCACCCATAGTTATGATCTATTCTACTCAGGGGATCTCAATAACTAATTCTATCCCCCTCAAAAACAAAACGAAACTCCCCTGCTATGTTCAAAATTTGATGTCGTTAACCGATGAACTAGATCTTCATAGAAGTGGAAGTTTTTCAATAAGAACCATAGGTCTATATTCAATGATCCCTGTTAAGGAATCCCACCACAGTATGTGTCAGTGCTGGACAGTATGGCTGAGGAAGTTCCAGGCGTGGTCTGGGAGTACCTCTCCACCCGCTTCAGAGGGGGTCCGGTGGTGAATCAGTTGCACGTATGTGCCATCTGTCAGCAGGAGAAAGTGGCGCTAGAGCAGAAAAGAACGGCGGAAAGGGAGGCATTTCAAAAGGTAAGACAAGTTTTTTTGCAAACATTTGAGTTTGAGCTCAACTAACCCTTGAAATACTTACCTCTTTCTCTAAAGTAAGACATACTTAATCAACTATTACCCCGAACAAACATTGAAATATATCTACAAATTTAAGGGCTCTGCTAATAAGGGCTCCGATTGGACATTCAGTAGTAGGGCAAGAGGCAAATTTAAATGTTCTGGAAAAACTCGTCCCTTAAAAGTTTCTTAAAAAAACAAGGATGGTCGGTTGCTGTGTAAGTGGCACAGAATGTTCCGATTGCAATGATTTAAGTTAAGGAGTTCAAAGTAAGGAAAAAAGCCTAAAAAGCATAAAGGGATATTAATTTAGGTAAAACGCAAAACTGCAGATTGGGAGAGATTTACAGCTAAAATTACTCAAAATTACAGCAGAGTTAAAAGGGTCTCCTGAAATAGAAAATTTGTAATCAAAAATAGGACGGAAAACAGGCCACTCCACAGGCCAAATAGTTCTTCCCGCCAATTCATCAAGTGGTAGAATCATAATTTGTTGGTTTAGATGAACAATGAGTTTCGAAGTCAGAAGTGTCCGGCTGAGGCCTACTTGATCGACATGCGATGGTACAAACAATGGGAAGCGTTCGTCAGAGCAAAAGCAGGTAATACCATCTCGCAAATGTAATTTTAACTTCAAATCAAGTAATTTTTGTCGCACTTACACTAATTACATCGACGAATTGTTTTAACAAAAATTTGCATAAAGTTCCGATTCACAGAGTTCTTTGAAAAGTGCAATTGACTTGAAATCAGGTCTCCAAATTGTCTAAAACATCTAGATTGTACGCGAGTTTTCATGAAAATGGTAGAACTGCGTTTCTTACTTATTCTTTTTATGAACTGTTTGGGACTCTGCAAAAAAAAGAATTGGACTATTAGTGTAGCTGTAAAGATTGAGCCACTTCGTTGGAAACTTCAAATAATTAACCTTCGGCTTATGCCTCTGCGTACTTAGTTTAATGAAGAGAACAGTTACTATGGTGTGTTTTGATCTGAGCTTCAGGTAATTGTACATTCATGTTCTGATTAGATCCACCTGGGCCGATTGACAATCACGCCATACAACACAGAGGAGGACGCTATTCAGTGTCAGGTAAATCCCTCGCACATGTTTGTACCTTAAATGGTTAGCCATATTCACCATCTTATGCGGTTTGTTCTTCAAAACATGAAAGCTTTCCTAATATGAATAAGGTCTAAATGATATAAGGATATAACCTAATCTTGAGGTTTATCTTAATCCAGAAAAGATCAATGAGCTAGTTCTTCTGCCATTTTCCCGCCACATGTTACTTATGTTTTTTTTTAAAACTTTTGTCCACGTACTCCAATTAGCATCAAAATTGGCACATGTCTGCATTGCGTAATTACTAACACAATTTTTCTCCATATTCAATTCCATAAAATCACTGGTTACTCTCTACAAGTGACGTACAAAAATGACAGGTGGTGGGCAAACAGTACAAGAGCTGATTAATTAATCAAACTTGTCTGAAGTCGAAGTTTGAAGTCGAAGTTCCGATAGTGTTTTGCAGTGTCGGTGATCTAAAAGGAAAGGTCGTGTTTGTAGCCATTTGAGCGAGCAATGCTGCTTCACTCACGTAAAAGAAAAGCATCTAATCGAAAAGCATCGAGCTCTAATGTGATATGCTTTGTTCTTCAGAAATAAAATTAGTTTAAAATGTTTCAACACCTGAAAGCCAGGTTATTATAGTTGTGGTTTATTGTTATTTGTCAAATTTGGTAAAATTTCTTCTTTGTGTCGCGAGTGATGCGAAGCTCCACTTGTTAATTGTTTAACTTGAATTGAGTTTGTTTCAGATTATGACGTGGGTCAAATCTCTTTTGAAACATGGCGCTACCTGGTCGCAATTTACGGAGGAGGACCCGAACTAGTACATAGAAATGAACGCTCCGTTTCCCCTTCTGACGTACAGCCATCTACTAGTTGATAATCATAAAACAGAGACGTCAAATCGGCGAATTATTTCTCCGTGCTTGCTCGTCGAATTTAATTGTTAAATCAACCATGAAAACAGCATAGTGTTGTTCTTCTCAATTTAAAAGTTTAATTGAGATCAATTTATATTCATCATTCACGCTGTTCATCTGAAGCCTGAATGACGCAGTTGACTTTTTAGGTGCTTCAGGCCAGCCATGATAAAAAATATTTTATATTCTTATATCGCATATGTTTCTTAATAAATTATCAAAAATTAGATTTTGTTTTAAACATTTCTTGAACGCATTTGCGGAAAAATCAGTAATTGAGTTAGGTTGTGGTGTGAGTGTACCTTCTGCTAAGAAATGTAAGCTGTTCGCCACCCCCCAACTGGCCCCTTTGGTTACACTTAATGTCTCATTACCTGGAATGAGAATTTATAGTGTGGCTCGCTCTGCCAATATTGTTTTTTCTGGTCGCTTCTGACCGTAGCTTATGGTTGAGTCCTGGATTTATGGCTTTCTTGCGTAGTTTTTATTGTATGCTGTAAGTGTTTTATTATTATTATTTTTCAAATATAATAGTTTTTTTTGGCGTTAAGCCTGTCAACACATGGTCTGTCGGCTTACTGTCCGGTCTCGAAATAATGATATGCTGAGTGTAGTTTGAGCTGTTTATTTTTTGCTTTATTGCGCTCGGTTCACGGTCGGCCCGGCCACATAGCACGTTTGTAGGCTTCATTTTGATTTGGCAATTATGTTTTTTTTTTCGATTTGGCGTTTCTCAAAATCAAGTAATTATTTGATATTCGAATTCCTTCATCTGTACAAAAGAGCTTCATTAGCTTAATTAAATGAAAAATGAATATATTTTGTATAATAGTTTTCCCAATGAAAAATAAGGTATTTAATGAACCGTTTTTCTGAAACTGAGTTATTTGTATCAAAAAGTATTAATCAATAACGATTCGGGAATTTCGATGAGCTGTAGGGTGATATATTTTTTGGCCATTTTTTAGGAAACTTGACTCTCGAAAACTACCCTGCCATTTCTTAGGTTAAGTTTTCAGGTTCAATCTTTGTAGAAAAAGCCTTCTAATTGTAGAAAAAAAGTGATAGATATAGGAAAGTCAAGTTTTTGAACTTTCGACCGTTTTTTAGAAACTTTGATTTTCATAGAAACTATCCTATCAAATTTAAGATGAAGGGTTGAAGCGAAAGAACTGGTTGTGAAAAATTTTGCTTTAGAAGTGGCACAAGGTAATTTCTTGAAAAAGTTCACTCTTCTCACTCATTTTAGTAGAGAAGCAACTAAGGTTTCGGGTAAAATCCCATTTCATCTAGCATAAGTAAAACAAATTCCAGTAACATCAAACAGCTACCTCCAAGTTTTAATGGGTCCTTAATTTTCTTTTATTGAGTATACGAACGTAGTTTTTTTTCAACATGTTTCTTTTTTTTTCGCCTTATTATGTTTTTTTTATGTTTGTGTTGTATCGCAAGTGGTGCGAGGCTCAGCTTTGCCTCTGTGTAGAGTATGCGTTACTGAAATAGTGGCCAAACAGCAATGCGTTAGTGGTTAACAACACGAGCCTCAGTTGTTTAGCTGCTTGTGTTCTCGAATTACACCTTTGCCTGTATTATTTGCACATTCATTGCTGTTCGTATCATTGGTGGCGGCTGAGGTTTTTTCCTTGCTGCTGATCTTCATGATACAGATCTGAGTCGCATTTCTGAGTGGCTTAGGCAAGTAATTATTATTGAAAAGGTTTGATTTGTAACTTTCTTACGGGTAAAACTCTTTGTGGGTTGTTTTCTCAGCGTTTTTTAACAGTTTATTTGCTCATATTTGCGAAGTGAGGCATTGTCGCCGGATTTCTTTCCAATTTTGAAAATTCATTAGATTTTTTAGTCAATAAGTGCAGTGAAGACTCAGAAAAAGCCTATGCTTTTTTTCAGGAAAAGCCTATGCTCTTATAATTGCAGATTTGCAATCATACATAATCTATTTTATATTTAAATGCGGGCTTCACTATCTCGCCATGTTTAAGCTTTTTCAACGTATTATTTTTGCATGTTTAAGCTATATCGTATATTGCAATGGTTGAGAATTTTTTTTCGATTTTCCAATTTTATTTTTAGTGGTTATTTTACTGAGTTTAAATTAAGCAGCCCAATATCGAATTAGGGGTTGCAATTTTGGCCTCCAATTTTGAATGCCCGAATTATTTTCATTTTGGCTAACGAGATAAGACGATTTTTGAGATTTTTTTCAAAAATTTTCTGAAATTTCAAATAACAAAATAATTTAAAAACTTGAAGTTCCCAACCCTGTAGTTGGGCGCTGTCAGAGTACTCTAAGGAGTAACAAATCTTGCGTCCAAATATGAGTGTTCAAATCCTTGTACTTTTCGAGATATGACGTTTTTTGTGATTTTTTTCAGAAAATTTTCAGATAACATATATTTATTTTTTTTCGCAAAATCTAAAATTCCCAACCCTGAATCTGGTTACTTTCAGAGTACTATCAAGGATCGCGAATCTTGCTTCCAAATATGATTTTCAAATCCTTGTAGTTTTCGAGATAAGATGTTTTTTGTGATTTTTTCAAAAATTTTCAGAAAATTTTAATTGATTATTTCTCAAAATTTGAAATTCCCAACCTTGTAGTTGGCTGCTGCCAGAGTACTCTAAGGAGTAACAAATCTTGCGTCCAAATATGAGTGTTCAAATCCTTGTACTTTTCGAGATATGACGTTTTTTGTGATTTTTTCAGAAAAATTTCAGAAAACTTAAGTTATTATTATTCTTTAAACATCTGAAATTACCAACCCTGTAGTTAGGTCATGTCAGAGTACTCTCAAGGATTGCGAATCTTGCCTCCAAATGTGACTGCTCAATTCTTTGTAGTTTTCGAGATATGATGTTTTTTGTGATTTTTTTCAAAAATTTTCAGAAAACTTAAGTTATTATTATTCTTTAAACATCTGAAATTACCAACCCTGTAGTTAGGTCATGTCAGAGTACTCTCAAGGATTGCGAATCTTGCCTCCAAATGTGACTGCCCAATTCTTTGTACTTTTCGAGATGTGACGTTTTTTGTGATTTTTTCAAAGTTTTCAGAAAGTTAAAATTAATTATTTTTCGAAATTTGAAATTCCCAACGCTATAGTTCGGTGTTGTCAGGGTACTCTAAAGAGTTGCAAATCTTGCCACATGCTACTGATAAACGCGACTGCTCAAATGCTTTTATTTTCCGAGATGTGACAATTTTTGATTTTTTCAAAATTTCTCAAAGAACTTATCTAAAGAAATTCAAAAAATTTGAAACTACCAATTTGATGAAGATACAACCTTATTGTCAGCGTACACCCAGGCGTCTCAATTTTTGCCTCTTAGTATGAATGCTCAAATCCTTTTAGTTTCTGAGATAAGACGTTTTTTTTCAATTTTTTTTTTTCGGGTTTAAAAAAGTTCACAAAATTTTGGATTCCTAACCCTATAGTAGAGTGCTCTCAGGGACTCTCAGTGGTTTTAAATCTGGCCTCCAAATTTTTCCAGAGGACCATTAAGTTTTCGAGATGACGCTTTTAAAATGGGAATTAAAAAAATTTAAAGTTTGTAATTGGGTGCAGGTTGTTGTTTCCAATATATGCGGTTTCTCATGAGTTGTCGAAAAATTTCGGAGCACCGAAGGTGCGTTAAACGCTAGTAATGCTTTAATGAATGCCTTTAGGTATATTCGCAGTTTTTGTGTTCAATTTAAATTCATCTGATTAAAGGTAAATTGCACTCCTCAAATACGAATGTGGAATGGCACTAAAAAACGTGAACGAGTTTTAGCTTCGAAAGTGGCATTTAGTTCTTAGTTTTTCCAGAGGAATAAATATTTTTCTTGTTTTCTCAAATTGAGTGTATTATATTCAAAAGTAGCAATCATAAATTGGTCCTTAAATTTCAAGAGGGTTAAGGTCAACTATATCTTCATTTTTTGAAATTCGAAAGCAGAGATTTTTAAAAAAAAAAAACCTGTAAGTAACAGAAAAAAGTCGAAATTTATTCAGGCTCAAATTGGATTTTTGCGGTCTGACTTGTGTTTACTTTTCAAGTCCAGCTCATCTCCGTTGTTGAAAGGAAGACAAACTCCTCTATTGAACAACGATAATGTAAAGGTCACAAAAAATTTATGGTGTTTCAGTTTCGAATTTGGTTTTCAAAATATCCGCGGAATCAAAAAAGTTAAAATAATTGACATGAACAGCCAAAATTCGACTAATTGTATTAAATTGCTGGCTTGAAACAATCATTTAAATTGTGGTTGTTAATCTCTTATCCTACTTGAATAGTGCTTTTCAGTTGTCCATAACTGGTTTTTTTTTTTCAAAAAATAATTAGCTTGCAGGAGCTAATATATTTTTTTTCTGAATATTTTTCTGCCGTGTTTTGGTTCATACTTCAAGTCTCCTAGTCGTGATTTCAATTCTGACATCCGAAATCTTCTTTCTCAGCTAAGGAATAACGGTAGAAGAGCCGATGAATTCATTCCTAAGCTGAGAATCAAGTATCGTGTCAAAATTGAAATCACGACTAGGAGACTTGAAGTCTGCACCAAAACACGGTAGAAAAATATTCAGAAGAAAACAATCAACAAAAGCCATATGAACACAGTGAAGATTCTTAAATAGCTGGTGCTTTTTTTCTGGAAAAGGTCTTTTAATTAGTTCACGCTCAAATATAATTTATCGTGGAGTGACTTGATTTTTTAAGTGCAAATAAAGCTCATTTATTAAAACTAGGGCAAATCCCAGTCTCCGATTACAAAAGCGAAAATGTCGAAAAAAACTAAAAAATTTTTGTTCACTGATTTTAGTATACATGCGTCCCAGTACATTGAACGTGCTTCCTGTGCATTTTTTAGCTCAGCCGTCTGTTTTTAGCAAAAGGGTCCTTTTCTTGAACTTTAGATTTTCCCATTTTATGTGCCGTAAAATTTTAATTATTTAAAAATTTTGAACTGGGTCGCTAAGAAGTACATTTTCTCGTGCAATGTTTGCTGCTTTTTTGCCTTTTCTCGTGCATTTTTTGCTTTTATTCTCGTGTTTTTTTTTGCTGCTTCAACCTCGTTTGATTATTTGTTTTTACAAATCAGTGCCTCAAACTGCTGTCTCGAAATGTTTGTTTAAGTATTACTGGATGTCTTGAAAATACATATTCAAGTTGTTTGTGTTTTTTTAGCTTTGAAGTTAGCTTTCAAGTTATCTTTTTTTCAAGTATACTAAAATTGCTGGATTT